GTATGCTTATGAAATAATTATGGTATTGCATCATTTTATTGATGCATTGTAAATTATTCTCTAGGTGTGCCTAGGGATTGAGAAGGATCGGAAATCTCTTGAAGTGATAAAAGTAACTTGTTCCACAAGTAAGCGTATCGGTAAAGCTTCAAGAGGTATGCTCTATGTTTAAGGAGTCTTTTCCTGCTGGAGTGCTCCACCATGGTTAGTGAACTATGGTTGGACTGTATGACTGTGATTTAGATGCTTTGTATAGATGCATTCATATAGAGTTATTTGATAACGTGATATGTTTTGCTCTGATATGACTTCTGTAATTTGATTTCTGTAACAATCTCTGGCCATTGATTGTATAGTACCCGGACGTCCGCTTTGGGGTCCTCCCTCGGGACTGATGGTGTACTCCTCTGATATGTCTGGTTCCGCTTTGGGGTCCTCCCTCGGGAACACGTGCGTTGATTTCCGCTTGGGGTCCTCCCTTGGGAATGACGGCGCACATCTCTGATATGATATGGATATATGCTCTGTTCTGTTATGATATCTGTTATATGTTGTATTCGTATACTTTGTATCTGGCTTTCATGCAGGAGTGAGCCAGGGGTATGGAGAATTCTCTATAAACCTGGAGCTTATTGAGATTTGTAATCTCACCCCTCTTTGGGGACACATTTTCAGGTGCCCAGATTTCTGGTGAGTCCTCACTAGGCAGGGACACGACACGTGGCTGAGGCAGTTGACAGACCGAATTTTGAGTGGCTGTAGGCTACTACCTTTTTGGAGTGTTTGATGTATTTTAGTATTTTCGCATTTGATGGATCATGATATTGATCCTTTATTTTGTATATGGCCTGTATATGTTTTGTACATGTCTGTCAGTTTGATGCATGTACATTTGAGTATTCAGGAACGTTATATGATGATGTAGTATTCAGATAGGTTTATGTTTTGATGGCATGCTGTTAGATTTAGTGGCACGGAGCCATGTTATGCATGCGCCCATGTATGGGTATTTGATTATATTTGGATATCTGGTATTTCTGAATTGATATGTTGTATAAACTGTTTATCAGGAAATGCTTCTGAGTGGGATTGGAAAATCCCCAGTTGTCCGATTTATAGAGGAAACTCTGCCCGATTTTCGTTTACGCCGAGTAAGAATTAAGTTAGAAAAAGAAAAAGTTAGCTCATATTTTCGTAAGTTAAGTCTTCCGCTGTTTTTGTTTATATCATGTGTATGTTAATTGAACCGGCTCGATACGGGGATGTTACAAAACCCTTGTGTATATTCTCTCAGGAGTGCTATGTATAGATATATATAGTAATCGATGAGAGATGTGAATCCCTTGTGTGTCTCTCGAAGTGTGCTATAATGTTGTTTTAATACTTGCATATCAGGAAATGAGCTCAAGGGTTGGAGAAGTCTTCAAGGACCTTGAGTTTACTGAGATTGTATCTCACCTCGTGTGGAGATTATATTTCAAGTGCATTAAGTGGTGGGAATGAGACATCTCTTGACAAGAGGCTAGCTTGTGAATAGATGACATGATACTATGTATTTTGATTCCTTTGGACATAGGAGCATGTTTGGACCTATTTTGATGTATTTTGTATTTTGAGGAAGCATGATTTGATCATATATGCATCTATGTCAAGAGGAGGGCCATTATGCCATATTTGTAATCTTAAGCATACAAGAAATGTATATTTTGATTTGTCATTGTGGATTAGATGTATAATTTGGTACCTTGCAATTGATTAGAATTCGTGTATAACGAATGTTGCATGGATGGTTAACTTGATGTTTAATACATGACTTTAATGACAAAATGCATGGTGTGTATGCTGGAAGTTATGGAAGGAATGAATATTTGATCTATTACGTACTCTTATAGTGTGAACTACATAGCACCATTATTTAAGTCTATTGAATTATTAATGTAGTTAAGGAAATCGACTACGGAATTAATTGATTACGAAATCAGTTAGTTTAGAAAATTATATTTTTAAAAAGGTTTATTCACATTTCCCTCTTTAATTTCTCTTCTTTTCTTTTGCGTTTAATACCATAATTAATGATAATACACGAGATGCATACGGGATATTACAGATATCAAATTTTAATTCCCTCTCATGAATTAAAATTTTTACTATCTTCATACCTCCATCTTAGTATTATGATTTAATTTTCAACAAGATGCTTAATAGAATATAAAAAAATTATACAGTTTACCATATTCCATTCACCATCTCAAACTAAAACAATGTAATGCACATTAATAATATAATTAAGGGATAATTAAGGTTGTTAACAATTGAAAACACAATAATTTGCTTACAAAAAAAAACACAATAACCAAAAAACTTATAACATGATTTATTTTGGTCTTCAAAAAGGCTGTCTAAATTTTTATTTTTTTTGGTAAATGACTTTATAAATTTTTTACATATGATTAAAGAAGGTTAGCAAGAAGAAGAATTACTAACCAAACGAGTTTTTATTTTTTTATTTTGTAAATATATTTTTAGAACAAAATTATCAAGCAATTTTTTTAAACTTTTAAAACTCTTTTTAAAATATGTTTACTAAACAGATTTTTTTCTTCTTTTACTGTGAAAATCAGTTTTTTAAAAACTATTTTACAAAACAGTATCATGAAAAAAAAAATTTCCTTTTAAATTCCTCCATCCAACAATTCTCAATATTGCTTCCCAAACCATACAATTATTTAACATAAATAAGAAGCATGCTTCAAAACGTGGTGTATCATAATGCATAAAAATACAAATATATGCTCCTAAAGTAGTGAGGTCTTTTCAGTGGAAGGTAAACAAAGATACTTTTTGTCCTCCTTTTTCTATTAATTTTCCCAATTATTATAACTTCGAAGGACTGTGGTTACATTATTATTGTTATTTGGTAAACGACATGGGTTACTTTAATAATAGGCGTTAATTCAAAATTAAAAATGGATTAGATGGAGCCCAATTCACCATGCCAGTTCCATTTGCCGTCTAAATTCTTTAAGCCATACGTGACAAGGCCACCCCAACTAAAGAAATTATTCTATGTTACAAGAGTGAGTCTTAATTAACGATATAGATCATCATTCATATATATATATATTTTTTATTTTTTTAAAAATATATATACTATTAAAATAATAAACATATGAATTAGCAATGAATTTATATATTAATTGAATTTAAAATGTCACAATATAAATGATGCGACCGGAATCTCGAAAAGATTTTTAAGAACCTGCTATAACTTATTTTCTGACATTCATTTCTAAACAAACTAATAAATATATTGTACATTGTACGAATGTTTTAATTAAAGTAAAATTTTAAAAGTATAAATTAAAAAATATTTAAAACTAGAAGGAATGCACACATAATTAATAAAGTCTAAAAATATTGATTAAAACATACAAAATTATAAAAAAAAATGTATAATTAGTTCAAATTAATTTTATCTAATTTATGTTACCAAAAAAAAAATTATCTAATTTTTTTTTTTGCTAAACTTTTTATCTAAAATTTAAAAAAGTAAAAGTTAAAATTATGTTTGTCATTCTTTAAGACAGACTACACTAAAAGATTAATTCATTCTCAATATACTATATTCTTTTTGGTGCAAAATATAATGTACTGTAGTTTAACATATAGAAGTAAAATAGTTAAGAATTATCTATAAAAAAAAAAAAAAAAAATAGTTGAGATTTGGTGAAGAATGAGCAAATTCTAATGTAAAAAAAAAAAAGGACGGATAAATTTACAATGGTATATAAAGTGTTAATAAGCTCTAATTTAATAGTCATGCTAGTCCTTCTATGCAAGTGAAATTAATTATTAAAAGGGAAAACATCTTTTCATGTCGTAAGAGAGTTATTTTTTTCTACCAGTGATCCTTCGATTTTTGTGCAATATTTTTTTTTAACAGAAAAATATTTTTGAAGTTACTGCAAATAAGTTATCTGCATCTACTCCCAAAACGACGTCGTTTTTGGATTGAAATATTAAAAATTTATAATTATAAAGATTATAATAATCCTGAAATAAATTAAAATTATAAAAATACTATGATTTCTGTCCCAAAACGATGTCGTATTAGACTTACTGCAGATAACTTATCTGTAGTAACTGCAGAAAAAATGAACCCTTTTTTTTTATAGATATGAGCCCCACATAAGATGTGTCTACAACATGAGAGCATGAGAAAATTTGCTTCTACTGCATACAAAAATCGAAACCCTAATTGAAATTGTGGGTAAAATTTTTTAACATTACAAAGTTATAAGTTCATCCTTCCTCCCTCTCTCTATAATATATATATATATATATATATATATATATATATATATATATATTTGTCCTTTTAAAGGACTGTGTCATTTTAAGATAACTTAGTATTTTTTATTTAAAAATTAAATTTAAAAAAAACACGCAATTTTTCTTTCATAATTTCATTATTTATGTCTTTCTCTCACTAAAAATGACATAATTTTATGTCCTTTAAAAGGACAATAACTAAACCCATAATTAAAAGCCATTTTACGTTTAAGAGTTGAAATTTCATTTTATTATATGTTAATAAGTTACCATATAAACAAGATTGGGTTTATCCTTTTTATATCTTTACCTTTATACCTTACTTAATAATGGTTCACAATTTTTTTTTTAAAACACTATTTTGATATTTTGTTTCCCTCAGCAAAATAATTAAAAACGAGATTTTACATAAAAATACAAAAATGATAAAAAATTGTAAAACATAAAATTATAAGATAAAGAAAATATAAAAACATAAAATCACTTGAAATATTGATAAAAACATTTTGATGATTCCCATCTTCTACCAAAAAAAAAAAACAAAACATTTTGATGATTAAAAACATAAAAACATAAAAATATAATAACAAATCGAAATTTTAACTACCTTGCTACCTTATATATATAAAGTTGAATTCCCTCGTTCAGAGTTCAGACCTTCATATGATATAACCCATTTCATTATTGTCAGAATTAAAAGGGTTTTTTTATTTTTATTTTTTTTCTTTTCTTTTAAGGTTTTAGCTTCTACCTTTCTAGTCTTTCACTCTTCCATCTTGCTGCTCTCGCTCATCTCACCATCCAGATCCAGGTAAACACCACATCCATCATCTTCATCCTGATCCTGTTTGAAAATTTTGATCTTTGTTTTAAAAATTTAATATTTTTTTTAATATTTTTTTTTCTTATGATTGTGGATGAGTATTCATTTGTTGCTGTGATCATCATGAATGAATGATTTGAGATTTATTCATTTTATTGCAAAGTTTTTGTCTTTTATGTTTGTTCTGTTACAGATCAAATGGCAGCCATGGCTCAACTGTGTTTTTCTCCTCTCTCTGGTCACTACCATGCACTTTCTTTCCCATCATCATCATCATCATCTCAGCTTCAGAATCGTCCTCTATATCTCATCAACACACCCCATTTGCCTAAAAGATTGCAACTTTCCTTCGCCGGAGGCGACGGCGGCGATGGGGTGGGACGGGGTGGTAGTGGTGGTGGTGGGGGTGATGATGGGAATCAAAAGGATTCATCTTTTGGTGTTTTGGGTCTCTTTTTGAATGGTTGGAGATCAAGGGTTGCTGCTGATCCACAGTTTCCTTTCAAGGTTCTGATGGAGGAGTTGGTGGGTGTGACTGCTTGTGTTCTTGGTGACATGGCTTCAAGGCCTAATTTTGGGTTGAATGAGCTTGACTTTGTTTTTTCAACTCTTGTTGTTGGTGCTATTCTCAATTTCACACTCATGTATCTATTGGCACCTACCATGACATCAGCATCATCCAATGTACCTGCTCTCTTTGCCTCTTGTCCCAAGAGTCACATGTTTGAACCTGGTGCTTATGGCATTCTGGAACGGTTTGGAACTTTGGTGTATAAAGGAACTATTTTTGCTGTTGTTGGATTTGGTGCTGGGCTAGTTGGGACTGCACTTTCAAATGGGTTGATCAATATGAGGAAGAAGATGGATCCAAACTTTGAGACCCCTAACAATCCTCCACCTACCATTTTGAATGCTCTCACATGGGCTGGTCACATGGGATTTAGCAGCAACCTCAGGTACCAAACTCTCAATGGTATTGAGTTCATGTTGGAGAAAGGGCTTAATCCCTTTGCATTCAAGTCCTCAGTGTTGGTTCTTAGATGCTTGAACAATGTTCTTGGAGGCATGTCCTTTGTGATGTTGGCAAGGTTGACAGGTGCACAAAGTGTTGGGGAACAGAAGCCATCACATGTGGAGGTTGGTTTAGCTGCAGAGAAGGAGAAGGTGGTCATGGAAAGGGAAGATGAGGATATGCAGAATAATCAGTCAACAACATCAAAGTGATGGCATCACTTAGTTTGGTTTCTTTAAAGAGATTTGTCTTTTACTTTGGGAAAGGTTGTTGGGGGAGAGAGAGGTGAGGCTTTTGGTTTTCTGAATTCTATTGTTGTTCTACTGTCCTAAGTCATAACTCTGGCAGCATCAAATAAGTAAGAAGGGTAGATTGAGATATGGAAGATTCTGACAAAATTTTCTGGCCTTTGGTTCTTGTATGTTGCTGAAAACTGATGGCAAAGAAACATAGGTTTTTGTAAGCCGGCTTGGGGTACCCTGAAACAACAATAACATGCCAAATTAGTCTGGCCATGGATTGTCCCCCTCAAAAATAAAATAAAATAAATAAATGTTATGGCTATGTAGCTGCTTTTATTTTTGCATAGTTAGTAAGCTTTTTGTTGTCGTTTTCTAGAGAAATTATTGTAAAGTATCTGACAAATCCAGTTTGGAGTATTGGCTAAATAAATTCAGGTGTATGATAACGATATTATTTGGACTATTTTTATTATTTGTCTTAGTATGTATATTTTTCTTTTAGTTGAATTAGTATGTATTTTTTTTAAGGATATCTAAGAGTTGCCTATAAGTAATTTCTGTATGTTGATTTGAATGGGAAATGATTTGAGTCCTTTAGCTTTAGGCGTGTCAATATATGGTTTGTTTCTAGCGTTTATACACAAATTAAATTGTTGGGAGAAATTCTATCTTTCGGTTCATAGTCATATCTAGTCATTTTCTGATAGATTAGTCTCTTATCTATGGTGTGGGACACACTTGAAAAATAAATCACTAAGATTAAGAGTTTTTTTTTAGTATTAAAATTGAGGTATTCTCGTTTAACTTCTTGTAACCACATTGTTTTCAGACTACGGTTATTAGAGATTACTTCTCATTGGTGCAGCCATTGGATAATTTGTTACCAGATAGAATACGAGACTAATCTCCCGATCGAAATTTAGAGTGCAAGGGTAAAAAATGTCTATCAAGGATCAATTACATGAGTCTATTTTTTGGGCACATTTCACTACAAGTGTGCACGCCTCTCGGGTTAAGATTAAGAGTTTAGTTTAAAGGAAAAAGTAAAAGGTTACAATCATTAAAAAAAATAGATGTGGTATTTTGGGCAGATCTATTGTGAGCTATGACCATTCTAAGTTGGGCTAAGTTAAGCTGTAATTGTTGTGGGTTTAGTTTAACTTGGCCTTGGGTGAGACGATTTGAGTAGCATTAGAGGTGGCAAAGTGGGCGGCCCACCCCCGCCTCACTCCGCCATGAACCCGCCAAAAAATGAGCTAGTCCGCCTCGCCCCGCTTTTAAAAGTGGGCAGGAAAACTCAGCCCGTTCCGCCTCGTTTGGCGGGTTGGCCCGCCAGCCCGAGTATATTTTACACTGACCCGCCTCGGCCCGCCTATGCCCATCATCAACCCGCCAAAAAATGAGCTCGTCCTGCCCCGCCCCGTTTTTGAGTTGGGTTGAAAAACTCAGTCTGCCCCGCCCCATTTAGCTGATGGAGTGGGTTGGCCCGCCGAGACGAGCCAGTTTTGCCTGCTCTAAGTAGGATAGATTGTTGTCTCAAACCATTTTTTTTTCTTATTTTTTTAATGAAGTTTACAAACTTAAACCTTATATTCTTATGCTTCATTTCTTTTTTCTTTTTGAAAAATTAAAAATATGCATAGTTTAAATTCTAACAAATATTAATTAGTTTTTTAATAATATGAATGACTGCACCGTTCCTGTCCATTGCTGCCGGCCTGCTCGTGGTTTTAGTTTAAATTAAATAAACAGGATAATTATCAATAAATTTATAAATTGTAAATATTAATTCAAAATGTAAATAAAAATATTACTAGCTTAAGAAACTTTAAATTTTTTTTAAAAAAATGTATTAATATGATTTCATTACCAAAAAAAATTGTATTAATATGATTTACTATTAAATGTAATTGTTAAAAATTTGTTTAATTTTTTTAAATACTTAACCGAGCAAAAAAAATTGCTATTTTAATAAATATTCACAAAAATATAGCTATTTAAAATTAATTACGGATCTATTACACTCAATCACACCTAAAATTGGGAATGACCACTTACATCCTGCATGAGGCGCGATCCAGGAGAGAGATACGCCTCACATAAAGCGTGAGTCATGAGAAAAGATACATATCCTGAAGCATAAGTGAAGAGAGAGATATGCTCAATATGAGGCGTGACCAAATTAGATAACACTTAAGTGGAGTGTTAAATTATACTCTCAAAGTAGTAGAGTATAATTTACTTGAAATTATCAATCTACTATAGATTAGCTTGCATCTAGCTGCACTAAATCAAGTTAAAATATATTTAGACTTAAATTCTCTTGATTTGATCCATATATTTTGTCAAAGTTATTTGAGCTTATATATAAAAGGATATATTATTCTACTTATTTCTTTTTTTGTTTATCTTTGCTTATTATTCTTTAACATTATTAGATTAGAAATTCAACTATCTTTATAATTTTTCTCCCCTACCGAAATTATGATCTAATGATATTAAAGAATGGTAGGCAAAGATAAAAAAAAAAAATTAAATAGAATAATATATCCCTTATATAAAATAAACCCACAATTTGTCATTCATAGTAGATACATATTTTACTATGATTTTAACTATCAATTTTTTCACTCACTATATATACCATACCCTAAGAAGCCAATAGTAACTTACGTAAGTGACTTGAAACATTAAATAATATCCACAAGAGTTCTATAAAGAAAAAGAAAAACGAAAGTATATTATTGTATAAAAAGAATGGATTTAATATCTCTCATATTGTCAGAAATAAAATTATCTCCTATATATATATAGGAGAAGGATTCGTTTATAATTTTTTTTTTATAAATTACACTATATACTTCCGAAAGAACATAATGTAACCTAATATTTTTTCAGAAAAACATAGTGTAATTATCCAAAAATTAAACCCAAAAGAATTCTTATCCGCAGTATGTCTTGGAAGGCAATAATTTGCTAGCAGCCGTGCACAACAATGCCTCATGATTTATGCGTGGAATCATTGACATTTTGTTTTATCTATTCACATTCTTTCATTTTTTTTTTCTTAATTATCTTTAAGTAGTCTTAACGCTAATTATTAATTTTGTAAATTCCATAAGCCATAGTCACACCTCAAATTTAAACACGTAATATTGATTAATAATAATAATCAACAAGAAGATAAAAAGTTCAATATTTCAAATCAATGATCAGTACCATGATTATCAACGATGACTCACATATAACCATCAATATATATATATATATATATATATATGGAGAGAGATCTTTTGACTCCAGAGTAAGACTTACAAGTCTTACTCCCCATCTCAACCATTGATTTCCGTCCATCTAACGGTTATTATTTATTTGAAATTAATAATTAATTAATTGGTATAGATAACCGTTAGATGGACGAAAATCAACGGTTGAGATGAGAAGTAAGAGTTATAAGTTTTACTCTAGAGTCAAAAGATCCCTCCCTGCGTGGTGCTCCTGGTGCCTGACGAGGTGCCAGGCGCGGCGCACCGGATGCTTGACTTGGTGCGCGAGGGTGGTGCCTGACGAGGCGCATGGCGTGGTGCACCGGGTGCCCGACGAGATGCCCCGGATGCTTGACTTGGTGACCCACGAGGCGCACCTGGTGCCTGACGTGGTGCCCCGACCGCCAGGCGTGGTGCACCTTATGCTTGACTCGGTGAATTTAGTGACAGGCTACTATGAAATATCCTCATAAGTTCCTTAGTTAGAGTGTAAATGAGTGTACAATCAACCATAGCAGAGAAGTGAATTAGTGAGATATGCATAAATTAATTTGAATACTATCTAACTGTAATAAAAAAATTATAAATTAAATTTACTACCAATTTATCCAAATAAACATATTGATTTTCGTAGTATACATTTCACTCAATAGTGTAACATAATATTTTTATAAAAAAATTATTTTGAAGAAATTAAAATAATTTAATTATATAATTATTAAAAGAATATTTCCGAATGAAATTTCTTTTTTTTTCGTAGATAACCTTGAGGTATCTCTACATAATCTTTTCAGTCATCTTGTTCTTTAAGTACGACTTCTGATGCTAGTTTCTCATCGAAACAAATAGTACATTAGACCACTGTCATCAAAGGAAGTGTAAGACTAATTTTCGAGAAGATGATTTTCCTCCGTCCCCAAAAAATTACAAGAATTTGCTTTGGCGAAGGTTTGAATCCTTTACCAAAGCAATCTTTGAGGCACAATTAATTTTCTTTTTGATTCTATCAAAAATAATATTAGCATATAATTTTTTATAAAAAAAAATACTCATCCCTTATTTAAAGAAAAAATCAAACCACAATTAATAATAAAATACAAATAAACAATAATATAAAAAATGTGACTTTAAAATCACTTAAAGATAATTAAAAAAACAAAAATCATAAAAAAAAATTATAAATACACAAAAGAAAGTGTCGTTGATGTAATAATTGTACGTGAAACTGGACCACCCAACCCAAGAATCCAATTCAATTCACCTCTTTCCTCAGTCCTTCGATTATTTTCTTTACGCACTCAACATCGTTGTCGTGCAGCCAACTTTGAATATATTTCTTTCTTCTTTCTTTTCCTTTTTGGGTGTTACAGTCACATCAACCTATCAGCAAACTAGTCTTCAAGACAACAATTTTGTAATATCATTTCACCGAAAAATGAAAATTAATTTTCTCCTTTTACATAAAAAAAATTCTCATGTTACACATACAATATATGAGTTCACAAAAAGATGATAATACAAAAAAGTCAAGTTGAGAACCACTCATATATTATGAGTGTAGAATGAAAAAAATTTCTCATATAAAATGAAAAAACTATTTCTCCCGAAAAATAAGACAAAATAGTAAGGAATTCTATTCCTTTATTACTTTGCTATTATTAACTTCCAAACAAATAATAAAAATGAGTGAAAAATAATTATGCATATATAATTTACTTTTATATACCGTCCTTAATTTTTTGGTTGTGAAAGTCATTTCATACAAAATAACCAATGATCAAAAATAAATAGAAATTTTTTATTTATTTTAACACAGGATATATATATAAGGAAAGTATACTCTTATGTTGTAAGAGAGTGTTTTTATCTCCTACACATACATCGATTTCCGTGTTACTTTTTTTTCTTTTTTTCTTTTTCAATAAGTGGGTGGATCCTACACATGATTGTCTCTATAACATGAGAGAGCTCTCTCCTATTACATAAGATTAATAAAGCCCATATATATATATATATATATATATATATATATATATATTTCTACAACCACTTTAGATAATAAGATCTTTTAACTTCACTGTGAGATTAATAAGTCTTTATTTCAATAATTGATTTTTATTTATGTAATGATTAAAATAGAGAGTAAGATTTCTTAATTTTATATATTTTATGGCTTTAATGTTTCTAAGGTGAATGTAGATAAGTTATCTACATTCGCACCCAAAACGACGTCGTTTTGGGTTGAAAAATTAAAAATTTATAATAAAAAAAACTATTATAACTCTGAAATAAATTATAATTACAAAAATACCTTGATTTCCGCCTCAAAACGACGTCGTTTTGAGTTCACTGTAGATAAGTTATCTACATTAACTGTAGAAAAAGCGAACCCTTTCATATATCTTTGAAAACACCTAAAATTAGAGAAGCAAAAGATTCTTATATCAGGCATACCAAAAAAAAAAAAGATTCATATATCACAACTCACAAGATGCTGCCTGAAGAAAATGTGCGAGCAACACCGTCAAATATTGGCATTATTTATAAATAACCCGAATGAGAAAATAAAATAAAATCATGTGTTCCACTTCTCAAGAGATTTACATTGTTCGGCAAATTTAGATCATGTATAAAACTGTATATACAAGTAAACACTAAAATATGACAAATAGAAAGGACATGTTCTAAATGAAAACTTGATTCACTTTTAAATCTCTGCTTCACTTTTTCAGGAACTTCAACGTGACATCACTCTTTCTTGGATCTCTTCAAATTTGTGCAACCATGTCTTGGGAGATTGAACTAAAGAAATGTATACTAGTGTGGCAAGAAGAACATTAACACTAGAGCATGCAGGAAATGCAACATAATCATCTTATCTAACAGCTTCTGGCGCAGAATTGCAGTAAGGTGTATGCAAACAAACCAACCTAGTGAATGTTAGACATAAAGTAGCAAAACCAATACCCATGATAATGCCACAGGCGCTCTTCCGCTTATCCAAACTAAGTGCTCTCTTTACTACACTTCCAAAGCTAGGGATTAATCCACCACAAGCAAGAACCATTATGTGATCAAGACCACTATAATCAATACCAGTGAGAATAGCACCTATTGCTGATATAGGACCCATAAATCCAATTATGGCAGCTGTTGCAAGAGAACCATGCCAGCTATCAGTGGCTCCAAATATGCAGCTAGCCACAGCTGCACCTCGAGGAAGCCCATGTAGAGAGACTGGAAGAACAATGTGACGACCAAGTCCGTATGCTTTTGGCGCAGCCACTCCCAATGCAAGTCCTTCAGCCAAAGCATGAAAAGCAACTGCACCGCATGATATGAATGATTGAAGGGTGTGAACGCTGAGTGGGAAGCCAGTGAGTGTAGGTAAGTCATTGGCTGAGGTTTTTTTCGAAGCTGCCACCCTCAATACACCAGAGGTAGAAACATGGATGAAAGCAGCCCCCATTGCAAGGAGTATCAAAACGGGGAATAATCCCAACTTTGAAGACAAAATAAGTTGCACTGGTCGCCAGGCACCAAGAACAAAGGCAATACCACAAGCTGTGCCCATGAGGAGAGCATGCTGAAGACGAAAAGCAAGAGCAAATGCAACGAGAAAAATCCCACCAAGTAACGGTCCAAGGCCAAAAAGTAATGAAACAAAGAAGCCAGAAGCATCTTCCGAGCTGTAACAAAGAAATCAAAATTCAGGGGAAAAGAAACTGTAACAGAAGAAATAAGAGTAAAATTCTGCATATCTCTATATTTCAACTCTTAGCAACAGAGCATGGATAATTCTATTCACAAAAGCAACAAGCCCAAACAGCATAATATAGCTGATAACCCCCCCCCCCCCCCCCCCCCCCCTTCCCTCTGCTTAAAAAAAAATCTTTTACAAACTCACCTGTAGTCATGGCTGAAATTCTGAAAGAGGGTGCTGAGAGCTTCCATAAATGCTACAGAAAGTGTTGCAGCTGATGCAACCTCCGAAGCTGAGGCTTCCTATAACCCAAAAGGAAGAAAAATTAATATTATACTTACCTGAAGACACAATTCCACAAAAGTTGAAGAGAATAAAAGCATAGACAGGTATGTGTGGCTTAGAAAGCTGAAGTCCTCCAAATCCCATGAAGAAAAGGGACTCACATAAACCAAATCCCCCAATAGCTTAAGCTATTAAGTCTTAGGTTAACACATGATGTGCGCGAACAGAAAAAACATTGGATTTTTCCAAGGCTGTCTCCGACACAGCCACGTATTTTGGGGGGGTGGGGGGAATGATATGCATGCATGTTGATCATGCTTGATTCATGTATATGCAATGCCACACAGCCCCACGCCAGCTCATATTTAATGATAGAAATAAATTAACTTTCCATAATTAAAATTATTTATTTTACCTACTTAGTCCCTTTAAATGCGATTTTTTGACCAGTGATTTAAAAAAGGTGAATCGAATGGCTAAGGCCTGGTAGAATAGAATAGAAAAGAGCGAGGGGCCACTTACTGCGAGAGAAGCATTGCCTCGCAGAGCCAGGGACAAGGAGAGGGGGGGGGGGGGGAGAGAGAAAAGCACAGACAAAACCACGATTTATGTTGGAGGAAGCTCTGAGCTTGGTTTCTTGGAGGAATTGGCTTTGAAAGAAGGACGAGTAGTGGATTTATGTTGTCTAGGTTTGATTTGGAAGTGATTGGGGCTCCGTCACAACACTGGATTGTTACTACTTCCTTCTTGTTTACCCTCACTATGTTTATTCTGTTTGTTGAAGGAGATGTTAGATCAGCGAGGTGTTAGAGAATCCTTTGGATTTTCCCATGCTATTAGAGCCATCCAAGGATTCTCGAAGCATAATATTATGTAGTAATTGGAAAGTTCTTGACTTCTTGTCATGATCCAACTCTCCCTAAAACTGAAGCTCTTAGATGAAGACATATGAATGATTTTATATTATGTCTCTAATAGGGACAATAAAGAAAAAAGTAAGGCAAACTCCAATCTATTAGAATATTAGGATTATTCACATGTTAGGAGTCTGTTATGTTAGTAGTCTTGTAGGGCTGAGCTGGTACAGTAGTACTTGACCTAGATTATTAATATAAATAGGAGTATCAAATTAGTGTTTTGTAACACATAATCTCATATCAATTATTTAGGGTTTCCCTTCTTCCTTTTTCATCCTATAATTTCAACATGACATCAAATTGGTAGTAGTTTTTTTTTTTTTTTTTGGTAACAGGTAGTAGTTTATTCCTTGTACCCCATTACTAATAATTAAAATTAACTTAAATTAAATTTCAGCACAAGATAAAGTGGCTTGAAAATTGTTAACGCTTGAAGCCCAAAGAGCTATTGCTTTAGAGTGGTTGTTAGTGATATAAAATCATTCATGAGCCTTCGCCTAAGAGCTTAATCATTCAAGGGTTGGTCCACGCTAAAAAGCAAAAAAAATAATATAAAGTAGTTATGAAAAGCCAATTTTCAAGTCTTCAAAATGCTGTGTGAAATAAAAAAATCATAATATATTTTGTGTAAAACTATAATGATAAACAACCTTGAATGCATCAGGAAGCACTTCCGCAACAACCATCCAAATCATGCATCCAGCGGCAAATCCCGTACAGAAAGGAAGGAACTTGCTGAATGCGTCAGCACAAATAAATGAAGGAACAGCTACAATTGGCTGCATTAACATTAAGAATAAGATGGTAAGAGGCTAAGGTCAAACACAGCAATGACCAGCTTAAACATATTAACTGCAGTGAACTATAGAATCGTTATCCTTTCTTACGCTAACTTATCTTTTGCTGAATTTAACAAAGAAAACATACTAAGACCCAGCAAATAGAAGTGTGTCAAGGCCAGTTTTAGTTTACCCAGCAAGTAGAAGTGTGTCTAGGCCAGTTTTAGTTAGTTTGTTTTTTAGTACAAAGGCCAGTTTTAGTTTACCCAGCATACACTCTTAGGATAAACAGTAACACTAAGCCTCATTAGATGGCCTTAGGCATAAAGTGACTGGCAAAGCGAATTCGCACCATGGCACAAGCAATATTACACAAGGGGTGTGATTCCATTACATACAAGAATATTGAGAATTTAAAGGACTCCACCAAATCTTTGATGGTCTATGTGATAGCACAAAGAGTAGTTCCATTAGGTTGGATTACACTACCAATCATTGAAAAGCACAACTATAAATGGTTTAGTTTAGTGTTTTTTCATTGGTACAGAAGGCCTGAGCTGCTCGAAAGTAAATAAAATATAGAACCAACTGACCTAATCATGCAACATATTACGCCTCACTTGAATCACACTAAAATTATACCTAAATGAGTGGAACAACCAAGACCTACCCAATCATAATCTTATTCCTACAAATAATGTGAGCATGAGACTTACAACTACTGGCTGAGGGGATAGCAAAGAATTAGTATATAATTCAGAAAGAAAACTCTTCAAAGTGATGAGCTGACTGAAGTCAAAGTAATTTTTCCTTAACAATGTAAGATAATTCAAATTTAAATAAAAGGTCTACCTGAGGTAAAGATGTAATTATGCTCCATAACATAGCATTCTGTGGAGAGACACCCCTTGATGCCAGCACCATGCTCACAGCTAATCCCTCTGGTATGTTGTGCACCGCAATAGCCAAAGTTACCAAGAGGCCTTGAGAGAAGCCCTTTGAGCCAGCAAAGGAGACCCCAACCCCAGATCCCTCCCCAAAAGAATGGAGAGTCATTATTCCAATAACAAGAACAACTTTGGCTGCATCAGCACCTTTTAGATCTAACATGCTTACTTCCCCATATTGCTCAAGAAACTGAAACCCAAGAGAATATGCAAGACACATATCAGAATGTTATAAATCTAAGTTGGATTCATATGGTAAAATTTGAGAATTATACAACAAAGATGCATCCCAGAAGAATAGAAAAAGAAAGAAGCATTACACGTGATACTTTTCATATCTAATCAATTCATCAATTTTGCTAACATTTCAAAAATAGATTGGTTGGAAAATTTGCTGAAAAATTGATATTGGCAAATTGTACAAGAGTTGTGAATAAGAAAACCTTTGTCAATTTTTTTATTAAATCCCTGTGGATGTGGATTTTATTCGTATCAATAAAATGTACCCCTAAGCATAACAACATTGAGGAATGAGACATGTATCAGTGCATATGCAAAGAAGCACTGCTGAAGAAGAACAGCAACACCAAGCAAGTAACTTCAGTTATGCAATTAGGAGAAAGGCAGTGATACAGATAACAGGTAGAATAATCATCACCTTCTTACAAAGCCAAATAAAGATTCCACCAGCTAGAATGCCAGTGACAACCCAATTTCCAGCACCATATTCCTGCCCTTCCTGTATTAGATCAAAGCTTGCAGCCAACATGACACCTGCAGCCATTCCATTGCATAATCCAGCCCACCGTGGATCAAGCTCCACAAAGAAGAAGGGCACAGCACCTAAACCAGTGGCAGCTGCCATCGCCAATGTAAATAACGCAACCGTGGAAACCGAAACTTTACTGCTTCCACCCTTCTTATCACCCACCACATTACTGGCATCCTCAAACTTAAAGGAACTCTCCACACCACTACCATCAATCACATTGGTTCCTACATCCTTATGTGGAGCAGCTCTGACCTTATGTGAAACTTGATGTTCCAATTCGGCGGCATTCGAATTGGCAAAACAAAGGAAACTTAACGCTAAAAACAACAAGGGTGCAGACAACCTTAGCTTCAGATTTGGAGCCATGAGCAACATATCCCTCTATCTGAATTAGCACTTTCTTTATGCCACCAGCCCCAAATCAAAAATTTCCAGAAGCTACAACTCCATAAGCTCCTATTCTACCAACTTAATTCAGGAAGTACCTGTTGATATCAAATTGCAGAAAGATGTAATTTGAAAAGGAAGCTCAAATGCATGTAGTCAGCACTTGGAATAGGTTTCTACCTCATGGCCAAGGCCAACCTACCTGCATCAGATAAAGAAAAAAAGAATAAGAAATCATCAGAGAACAAGACATAAACTTTCTTCATAGTAATAAACACCCATTCCAATTCCAATGACAGGTATATACAATACAATACAATCTAACCTATTGTTGAAAGATGAGCAAACAATACATCAAAAACCCAATTAAAACCCAAAATGCAGATTTATATATAAGCATTGTTATCTTTTAAATAAAAAAAATTGAAATTTGAATTGAATAGACGTACATGTTAGGGTGATGGTTGCAAAAGGGAAATTGTAGATAGAGGCAAAGAAGAATGAAAGAAAAGGGGAAGACTTTGAAAACCCTAAAAAGAGAAGAATTTGAGAGGAAAATGTTGTTTTTTTTTTTTTTTGGGTATTCACTATTCAGCGTTTCAATAGCAACAGCAAATGCAAAACCAGGGACTTTGCGCACGCAGAAAACGCTGAGGGGATAAAGTTTGTTAATCTGGATTATATTTTGTTTAATCTCCTTCACAATAAATGGATAATTTAGAGCTATAATGTAGTTCTAGCCTTAGGTTTTTTAAAAATTAATAGTTTAATATTTTTAATAAAAATATTGTGTTCAATAATATGAAAGGATAAATGAATAAAATAAGAAATTGAAATTTTAAACTACCTCCATCTTAATTGGCAAAAAGATAATATCATGGGAGAGAAACCTAATTAGATTCAGATTGGTGGTTGGTTAATATATGATGTGTGAGCTGGCATGTTACATATTTCACTTACATTTAAGTCAATTATTTAGTCTCGGAATATAAAAATATCTCATGAATTAAATTTTTTTACATATTAGTATGGATTTGTTTCAATTTAATTAATAATTTTGAATTCGAGTTTTGAACAGAAATTTTTTTTGTTGTCTTTATGATTATACCCGACTGGATCAGATTAATAATAATAAAAAAAAGTTACCTACTCTTAGAAAGTATTATATCACTCTATTAAAAATATAATGGCTCTATAACCAACTAACCATAGCTCAAGGAGGAAGAGTATCATTATGACGGCAAATTAGGAGTATCCATGATGGAAATGGATCTTTTAAAGTGAGAAAAAATATGATAGGGTCATGTGAGAAGATCACGATTATACAAAGTTAAATTTATAGTTATGATTTTGTAATTACTTATTTTATTATTTTTTTCTCTCCTCTTTTATTACCATTGATTTACCTTTATATAGTTATGATTTATCACTTTATCATGTCATGTGATTTTTTACATAAGAGAATCCGAATCCACTAACTAAGACTTCGGATCCTATGAAGATAAAAGATAAAATATTATTAAATCACATTTTAATAGTTGTAAAATAATCCATGAGTGTGAATTATTTGTTACCTCCTTAACGTCAGGAACAATAATGTAAATTAGTCAAAAGTATGCAGAATTTAACACAGGGACGAGATGAGCCTAATCATCTAATATCTAAATTCTAGAAGCTGAAATTTCCCCTTACAATAAAACCTTCTTCTCAGCATATTTACGAAAATGTTGCTTAATGTTTCTTCATCGCTGATTTTTTTTTTTATAAATTTCCTAGACTGTACGTAACTTTCATTAGATAGACGACAACATTGCCTCTACAAGCTTATTTTATTTGTTAAGACAGATCTATTTTGATATATTAACAATTTAAAATAAGTAAGACAACTTAAAAATTAGTATGTGCGCGACCTCTTAACATTAATTATTGTGACCTTCATTTGTCTTATTCGTTTGCTTTTCATCTCACTTTTCTAACTCGCGTACGCCGTTTCATTAGTGCGACTACACAAATTATATATAGCGGAGGGATCTTTTGACTCTAGAGTAAGACTTACAACTCTTACTCCTCATCTCAATCGCTGATTTTCGTCCATCTAACGATTATTATTTATTTGAAATAAATAATTGTTATATATAACCGTTAGTTGGACGGAAATCAACGGTTGAGATGAGGAGTAAGAGTTGTAAGTCTTACTCTAGAGTCACAAGATCCCTCCATATATATATATATATATATATATATATATATATATATATATATATATATATATATCTCATATATATATATGGGGAGGGATCATTTGACTCTAGAGTAAGACTTACGAGTCTTACTCCTCATCTCAACCATTGATTTTCATTCATCTAACGGGTATTATTTATTAAAAATTAATAATTAATTAATTGGTATAGATAACCGTTAGATGGACGGAAATCAACGGTTGAGATGAGGAGTAAGACTTGTAAGTCTTACTCTGGAGTCAAAATATCCTTCCCCTATATATATATATATATATATATATATATATATATGGGGAAGGATATTGTGACAACCAAGTTGTGTTACTACCAAGTGACTCCCAATCAATCTCACCGTTAGATCGATTATGTTGATCCAACGGTTATATTTATTTTCATCTTTGTATGGTCATGATTTCCCAAATTTACTACTTTATATTTGGAAGATTATACTTACAATCTCTTACAACTCATATTTTAATCGTTGATTTCTGTCAATCAACGGTTAAGATTTTTGCAAATAAAATTTATTAATTAATTATTAATTCGCAATAAATGATAACCGTTAATTGGCGAAAATCAACGGTTAAGATATAGTTGTAAGAGGATGTAAACGAAAATACAACCTCCCTATATATATATATATATATATATATATATATATATATATATATATATATGGCTCATATTGATCATTGCAACTTTTAACCAATGTAAGAGTTAGAAGTCTTACCCTCAATCTTGATCATTGATCCACTTGTATTCAATGGCTCATATTACTAAAAAATTAGAGCCTTTAGATAAAAAGGAGATCAATGGTCAAGATTAATAGTGTAACTTACACTGGTGTAAAATAATCCTAACTCTATATATATATATAGAGAGAGAGAAACAATGATGATAGTGACAATTTTTTTTACAAACTTATAAACTATATTATGTATCATCGGAAGACTTCACTTAAATGTGTCTTACTAGTACGACTTCACTTGAGAGTTTCTTACTAGTAAGACATAATGTAGTTTGTAAACAAATTTTTTATAAATATTACATTCATTATACTTATATATATATATATGTAGAGGTAGGGTCTTTTGACACCGGATCCTACTCCATATATATATATATATATTTATATATATATATATATATGTATATGGCAAAATTATTTTTGCCAAAAAAATAATGAAATCAGGGGAGAGTAAATTGGTCACTTGCTTACTTTTTCTCATTAATCCTCTACCGTTAGATTGAAGTAAGATTGATGGTTCAGATCGAGTGTAAGATTAAAACTCTTACACTGGTGTAAGATGATCCTGTCATATATATATATATATATATATATATATATATATATATATATATATATATATATGAATATCAATTTTCTTATACTATAGACACATCTTATGTGGAGGCCCATATCTATTAAAAAAAATATCGCACGAAAATCGAAGAGTCACTGATAAGAGAAAACAATTATCCTATAACATGAGAAAATATTTTTCACACACACACACACATATATATATAGGTAATATCTTTTGACACTAGTGTCAAATTTGAAATTTGACATCTCATCTAGGAGCTATTAAATCAAAAAAATTAACGACTCTGATTTGTAAGCATGTGACACCATGTATTTTTTTGATCTAAGGGCTCTCAGATGAGGTGTAAAATTTCAAATTTGACACTGGTGTCAAAGGATCCTATTCCTACCTCATATATATATATAGGAATATGTTTATCATATTATATAAGATAGAATTATCTCATTCAACACACAAAATGTGAGTGTGACCTACCTTTTATATCATCCAATAAATTTGTGCTATTATACATTGGGAATATAAAAGTATCTTAGCGTCTCTTTGGATTTTTTTTAAGGTAGAAGCTACTTATAAGCTATATTTTAAAAAAAGCTAAAAACTGTTTGGTATATAAATATTTTAGCTTAAAAGCACATATTTTAAGAAAACTCTCCCTCTCTATCTTTATATCCTTATAGTTTTTCATTTTGAAAAGAAAAAAACACACAATTCAAGAAAAGTTGATAAGAGCTTAAAAAAAACTCATCTTATAAGCTTTTGGTTTTTAGTTTTTTTCTTCATAGTAAAAAATAGAAATTTTCATTATAAGATCTTTTTTAAAACTTGTTTGACCTAACTTCTGATTATAAGTAACTTCTAGCTTAATAAAATAAAGATCCAAACTGCACTTAATGTTATTAAATTCGGATAGGTCATCAAATTAGTTAAGGTATTTAGGTCAATAGGTCATTGATTCAATCAGTGAGTCACTTGTTGATCTAGTTAAATTAAATTTATGTTTTTACCAAAAAAATAAAAAAAAATTAAATTTATGTAAAAATATAAAATAAATATATAAATAAAAAAATATGATAACCAAAATAATTTGACGAGTGATTAGCCGCTCCCCTTTGGTGCAAATCAAAATCCTAAAATTGTAATTATGATATAATATTTTGCCACAATTTTCACATATTCTTGACTGAATTATATGTGTGGCTGATTAATTGACTCAACCAAACTTGTCCCGATTCAACCAATCTGGCCAGCCAGGCAACGACGGACCTGTTTTGGTGTAAATGTGTGTAAGTGCACACATAAATTTTTTGAAGGAAAAAAAGAGAGAGAGTATATTTTAAGTTCTCAATAAAAATTAAAATTACAGGGTCCAATTTAATCTCTTAAAAAAAAGTTGACTCTCAGTCCCTCCGAATTCCAAAATAGATCTAATTAGTCAAAATCGTGGTTCCTCTGAAATTCAAAGAAGACCTATATTAGTCCCTTAAAAAGACTAACATGGGTCTATTTTGAAATTCAGACGGATCACAATCCACGAGTCAATTTTTTTCTAAAGAATTAAATTTGGTCCCGTGATTTTTGTTGAGGACCTAAAAGATACTTTATTGTTGTAGTAAGTTCGAGTTTTTTTTTCTTCTTTTATTTATATTCTTTTATTTTTTAATACATTTAAAATTTTCTTTAAAAAAAAATTTCGGGAGCATTGCCACTGAATCTCATCCCTAAATATGCAAACATAAATAAAATTACTTAGGTTTGCGCAGATTACACCGATTTTAATAATTTTGGAGTATCTCCATTCCAATTGAGTCATACATTAGTTTAATTATTGCATCGCCAAACGTTCTTTTTATCATGATAAGAACTAAAATACAAACAGTTTTCACCATTACACATCCACCTTATTCCATCATCTACCATACTTACTATCAAGCTCAGTCACCCAAAAAAAGAAGAAGAAGTTAAACTGGAACTCAAACCGCTATTTGAAACGGCTAAGGATACAAGCCTTTTGAGTTTCTGAAAGTGAAAAAAATAATAGACTATTGTGCTTGCTCGGTGTTGTGTGATTGCAACACCCAAACCCATGTTCGAGACTTCTAACCAAATGCTCGATACTTCTAACCAAATGCTCGAGACTTATAACTTTTAACCACGACTTGTCATTTGCAAACTTGTTTGAAAACGCGTTCGGTTTCTATTTCAAACGGGGAAAAAAATGTAAGCAAACGTGATTCTAGTAAAGAACAACTCTAAGTAGCTTTGAGTGAAATTAAAACATGAATCATTTGACTTCATATTCACTTTTAATTAAAATAAAGTTATAAAGCTGAACCAAAGATCGGAATAATGGATGGAATGAACCCATGACAAGACCACTTTATGAGTTATAAAGCTATTCTGCTATCTATATAGGTGGTGTTTGGTTCATGAGTTTGTCATTGTTTTCCATCAAAGTGATTCTTAGATAGTCGGTTGTTCAAGTTTGGTTCACTGATTTCATGTTTGTTACCCATCAATGGCAGTTCCCTGGGCAAACCAGTTTGCATGTTAAAAAGCAACAAAATTACTGTTGAAGAAAGCAATTGGAAATGTGGTATTTACTGAAAAACCGGAGAAGTTATTAAAGTGATACAATACAATGACACAATTATCCATCACACAATGTACTATGTACACACAATGGTAACTCACTTTTAAAAACAGTAAAAAAAAAGAGTATTTTAGTATTTTCAAACAATTTTTCCATCAATATTCTATCTTCAACCAAACATATACTCAAAAAATTTAACCCGATTTCCCCGGTAAACTTTTGGCAAACCAAACAACTTTTTTTACATTTTCCTACCAAAATCACTTCCACTATATTCTTACTAATTCTATTTTTCTAGTAAAATAAAATTTCTCGCAAACCAAACACCCCATAATGGAAAATATCATGCCAGACTAAAGCATTTTATCCTGAATTATTTAGCCCTAGAGCATACATGCTTGTTTGGATTAGCTTATTTGAAGAACCTAACCATTTTTTCCTTTTGTTTATTTGCAACATCGAGGAAGCTTTTCATTTTTTTTTTGAGTAAATACCCTTTTTAGTCCCTAGCAATATCCACGAAGCCCTTTTCAGTCCCTAGCAATAAAAAATGGACAAATTGGTTCCTGAAATAACAAAAAGAGGCCACGTTCATCCTTCCGTTAACTCCCACCAACGGCCCAACTAACGGTGCACAGTTGACACGTTAGTTTGTTGACGCGGCTTGGATGTGGGACACCGTGGAAGACGACGACGTTTTGATCCCTCTCAAAACCACGAGGACGTTTTTATTCCCTGACAAAAAGCCCGGGGCCCTTATTAGTCCCTAACCAGAGAAAAATAGGCACATGACTTCATTGCTTTTCTATGCAGTCTAATTTTGCAAAACAGAAGTGCATTACATCAGAAACAGGAGTGCAATCCATTTGTTCATCACAAAGTAATTAAACTAAATTTCATCACAAAGTAAAATACTCCTTCTTGGCATTTTATTTCAATGAAGTTTGTGTTTCTAACTGAAGTTTCGACCTTATTAACGATTATTCATTTCTTTTTCAATGTTAATTAAGTTTCCCACTTTGTTAAAAGGGATTCTTGGCGCTTGCAAACAGCTTTTACGATCCCTAGAATACTGTGAACTGCTTTAATTCTCTTAGTCTGTATAAGACATAGCGTTATGCGATCTACGAACAATATCTTCAGTAGTGTAGCATTACAATTATACTATTTATTTTTCTATAAAAGATAATTGCATGATTGTTGATATTTAAATACAGAGAACAATCAGAGAAGAAGCCAGGTAAATGATTGTTGATAATTGCAATGCATGACAGTTGACTGGACTGAAGCAGTTGGTAGTTCTCAGCCACATGAAGGCAACTTGAGAGGAAGCAGCCCACCTCCATCAAATCCACAACAGGCAAATGAGCTGTTGAGTAATGAAACAATGAATGCAGCAACCAGTGGCACACAAAGCAGATTATTGGTCTTCATGAGCACACCTGGTTTTAGGCCACTCTGCCTCAAGAAAATGACCTGCTGCTGTATATGACCTGGGAGTAGTGCATGAGCCAACTGAGGAGGGTTTATTATTATGTGACTGACTTTTTTTTTAAAATTCTGGCTATTATGTATTTTGAGGCCTTATTATGTCAATGTTTTTTTTGTAAATTCTGGCCATATTGTATTAGAGGCCTTTCTTTTAATTCTTGGCAGTTGGCTTTATTTTGTAATGCACTACTGTACATCCATGTCTTCAAATATAATGATACTCAAATCATGTTCCAGCTATTATGTTTCACAGGGTTGATGAATGTTTAAGTTTATCATTTTTGATGTTTTTTTAACTAATATACGTAGTTGTAGTTCTTGTACATCCATGTCTTCTGGTTTAACAAATTGGACTGCATACAAATCCAATTTAATGTCATGTTCCTGTTTTGCAAAATTGGATTGCACTCCTGTTTCTGATGTAATGCACTTCTATTTTACAAAATTAGACTGCATAGAAAAGCAATGAAGTCATGTGCCTATTATTCTCTGGTTAGGGACCAATAAGGGCTCCGTGCTTTTTGTCAGGGACTAAAAACGTCATCGTGCATTTTGACAGGGACCAAAATGGCCCTTGTGGTTTTGACATGGACCAAAACGTCGTCGTCTCATCTTCCACGGTGTCCCACATCCAAGCTGCGTCAGCAAACTAACGTGCCAACTGTGCACCGTTAGTTGGGCCATTAGGTGGGAGTTAACAGAAGGATGAACGTAGCCTCTTTTTTGTTATTTCAGGGATCAATTTGTCCCTTTTTTATTGCTAGGGACTGAAAAGGACTTCGTGGATTTTGTCAGGGACTAAAAATGATATTTACTCTTTTTTTTTTAAGAAAAACAATTATTTTCTCAAACATAAGTAAGATTGTCTTTCCAATTCGATATAAACATATGTCAAGGTCACAAATTTTTGTCTTAACACCAGCTCACTTGTATTATTTCTTTTTTTATTTATATTAGAGGCTAGACTTTTTAAAATAGGTCTATGACTTAATTTATAAAAAGACCTTTGAATAAAGCCAACTCTATATTATTTTTAAAATAGATCAGATCAAGTCAATCTAGATTGTAAACCCTTAAAAGAAAATTGTCTGATCCATTTATATTTCTATAATCCTAAATTTTTCCTTTAAAAGTATTAAAAGAAGAAAAAATAAATAAAAGAAATGTGTACACCCATCTAATTATATTTACTTCATCTCCTTTTTTTTTTTTTGTAATCTTCATCTCCTTTTTTAACACGTTGGATGATTTTTTTTTTTTTATATATAAAAAGTTACTAAAAAATTATTTCGAGCCATTTTATGTGTTTGAATAACAGCTTTTAAAGAAAACAGAATTTTAAAAAAAGTACTAGCCAAAAATTAAATTTTATCTTAACCGTACTCCCGACTAGTTTACTCCACACAAATTACTCCGATTCATTAGAAGAGGCAAAATGGATTACTTCAGGCTATCTTCTTATCAACTCGTCAAAAAATGAGTCAATCTATTTTACTTCATTTTTGAGACGGATTGTAAAATTCAATCTGTCTTAATTTAGCGGACAGGGCAGATCGGTCAGCCGAGCCAAGCCTGTTTTGCCGATTCTACCCATTACCATCACATATCTAAATTATTTTTTTATTTAATTTTTTTTATATATTACATTTAAATTTAAAATAACTTTAACAATTAAATTTTAGAGGAAAGATATTGTAACAACCAAGTTGTGTTACTATCATGTTACTACCAATCAATTTCACCGTTAGATCAATTATGTTGATCCAACGGTTATATTTATTTTCATTTTTGTATGGTTATGATTTCCCATATTTAAATTGAAAGCATTAAATATGGAAAATCATAACCATACAAAAATGAAAATAAATATAAAGTATTAAATTTAAAAAATCATGATCATACAAAGATGAAAATAAATATAACCGTTGAATCGACATGATCGATCTAACGGTGAGATTGATTAAAAGTAACTTGGTAGTAACACTTGTTACAATATCCTTTCCCTAAATTTTATTTATAAAAAATTAATTTTTTAAAAGATCATCCAAACATATATTTGCATAGGAGTGAGAGAGAGTGTGTGTCTGTGTCTTTGTGTGTGTGTGTGAGAGAGAGAGACGCCATGAATGCACCTGATCGTTACGAGCGTTTCGTCGTTCCTGAAGGCACCAAGAAGTATCCTTTCATTCCTTCTATTATTTTCTTCCTTCCAAATTCCAATATCATCATCATCACTCATCACTTTCATATATTTTTATATCTATTAATTTTTTAATTTCGTGAAAAGGGTCTCTTATGAGAGGGACACCAAGATCATCAATGCTGCTTCTTTCACCGTCGAAAGAGAGGACCACACCATAGGCAACATCCTTCGCATGTAACCCACTCACTCCATTTTACCTCCATAAACCCTAATTTCTTTTTTTTATCTTAATTTTGATTTGGTGGTGTTCAGGCAACTGCACAGAGACCCTAACGTGTTATTCGCTGGATACAAGCTTCCTCATCCTCTTCAGTACAAAATTCTTGTCAGGGTTAGCAAATTTCCCTACTAATGATGCCTTTCTTTTTTTCTAATTAATTAATTTGGGATAAGTGTATTGCTTTTATTTTTATAAAATATGAAACTAGGTTGACATGAATTTTACTTCCAGTTATCAAGAATAAGAAGACACAAATCACCCTAAACCTGGATTTTGTTCAACTCAGTTGTATTGGAGTTGGTTTAAGGCTTTAAGCCCCAATTGGATTTCCTCAATCTTGGTCCTTTTTAATATTGTCATATATATAAATATATTGACTTCAAACTTTCATAAATGGGCATTCTATGGTGTTTTTCTATGTAATATCAATTAAGTGTTAAGAGGGTGAGTCTGGAGCAATGATAAGAGTTAAGAGGGCGAGCCTCGAGCAGTGATAAAGCTGCTTCTTTGTGATTGAAAGGTCACTGACCAGAATCTGAAAAACAATTGAAAGGTCACTTACCAGAATCTGAAAAACAGTCTCTTTGCAATTATGTAAGGGTAAAGCTGCATACAAGAATTGTCCTCACTCCATCTTCACTCATATGTCATGACCGATCAATAAAAATACTCTCTCGAAGTTACGAGGCTATTTTGTCGAGTTCCTTAGAGAGAGTTGTCTCGAATGTATCAACAGAATCTTTTGATTCTTTCTGCTAATGATTAAGCCCGTCAATTAGTTAACCATGGACATGTTTTAGTCAATGGTCGAACCTATTGGGGATCCCATTTCCGTACCAACTAAAGATATGCTTATTGGGCTTTTCGTATTAACTAGTCTTTTCTTTTCCCTTTTTTCAACTCATTTATATCTATTATCTAATCTTTTTTTGGGTTGGGGTTTTATATCAGTTAAGCGTTATGGGCGTTGCGGTGCCTTGCCGCAAGAAACTGCACCGCGCCGCAGCAGAACGCAACAACGGTCATTGCGATCGCATTTGTGGCCAAATCGCAGCCATATTGTTGTCATAAGGCAAAATGTCAATTTTGTCCTAAATTTAAATGTGTAACAGAAAATTTTTAAGAGTTTTTTAGTCTATCCGCGTCTCTCTATGTCACTTTTGCTATCTCTGCCTTTAAAAAATGTTTCTTTTTGTCATTATTTCTGTCATATATCTATTCCGCTATTTTCGCAACTGCAACCCATTATAACGCTATAGCATTTTTCGGGGTTGGCCGCGACATGCTGCAATCCGCATTTGATAACTATGCAGTTAAGAGTTTTGTTTTATTGTTATTTTTGCAGATACACACCACTAGTCAGTCTTCGCCAATGCAGGCATATAATCAGTCTATTAATGATCTGGACAGAGAACTTGATCATTTGAAGAATGCCTTCGAGGTATAGCGTGTCTCTCTTTTTGTTGTTGTTGTTCTTTGTGCAATATATCTAAATTCTATGATATCATTGATACTTGTTTACTCTTCTATCTTAGGAATTCTTTTAGATATTAAATACAGTATCAGCCATTAGTAACAGGTCATGCTTAACTCACGGGCCCCATTTCAATATCTTTACTTCTCTAACCTAGAAATTAGTTGCTGATTTCTGAAAGTAGACTATATCATTTGACCCTTTTGTGTTTCTAATGCTTAGTAGTTGTACCCATGAAGAAATTGGAGATTGACTGAGGTTCAGCATTTGTAACTTATTTTATGTATTAGAAGCTTGCTTTGTTTTTTGATGTTTCTTTCCCTTCTACGGCACTCAGTATTTTTGGTAAGGCATTTAGAAAAATGTATGTATCCAAATAAAGACAACTTCTATATGGACACTTGGGAGTTGGCTTTTCCTTCTAAAAGAGATTTTGCCTAATTCGGGAATGCAACCTCTTGAATGAGATGAAATACTGGCTCCTTCAATTGGTAGACATCATTATATCATTCCAGAATGTGTAGAAAATTGGAAAGAATTTTCTGGAACCCTTGTACTTCTTAAAGATGATTGTAGTAATAGTATATGCTATTTATGCGCTGGAAGAGATAATTCCATTATGAATTCTAATAAGTATTCTTATTTGCTTTTTTCTGAGAGTGCCATTAGTAACCTATTCAAAATTTTCATTGCAGGCAGGCATGTTGAAGTTTTCAAGGGACTATTGATTTACGGTCAAGATGGAAGTTGTGTGGGTTAGAAGCCTTGGCAGATACTGAGATAGCAAGTGGCTCCTGCTAAATGGAATTTAAATAGCATGTTTATAGTGTTTTAGCAAATTGGTTAAAGATGGTTGTGCTGGACTGAGGAATTTTTACAGTTGTGAACAATTTCATAGTTAACAAAAATGCATTAACTGGAGGATTTGCATTATATCAAGCTAATTATGTTGGCAACTGTTGAGATATATAAAACCATTAATGTAGCCTCACCCAACAGATTAAGTTTTTGGGTTAAATTGGTTCTTTACATGGTATCAGAGCCTCAGTGTACCGGGTTCGATTCTCACCGCCTCCCATTTTCTTTCTAGTGGAATTTCTTTATTCGCACAGGTAAGTGAGCCTGTGCATCACCCATCCTTCAAGTCCAGTGGACTCTCGTGTGAGAGGGCGTGTTGAGATATATAAAACTATTAATATAGTCTCACTTAACATTTTAAGCTTTTGGGTTGAATTGGTTCTTTACAGCAACTACTAATAAATTCCTGTCACTTGGATCTTATATATACGGATTTCGTGTAGAATTAAATTAATTAAATATTTATTACGCCAAATATACTCTGATGAGGTTATATCATTTGGATTATTTTGGTAAAATTGCTTAAAGATTAGGCTATTGAAAAGCGTTTCTCCTCTAATAAGAGATGAAGTTCTTTTTTGCAATTTCAAAATGATGTTGTTTTGAAATTGTAGAAAATATTTTATCTTTTATTGGAAAAATATCAATCCCTTCATTATATATAGGCTTTTTGACCCTTTTGCCCCTCATTAATTAATTAATAACCAATTTGCCCCTGATCTATAACTATCCACCAACCTGCCCCTGTTTAATCGACTACGTTGAAGGTTTAGTCGACTAAATAATCAAAATTCAGAAATTGCTTTGACACGAAATGTAGTCGATTAAAAATCTCTCTCGATTGATTAAATTTCGGGACTTTTAATCGACTACAATAATTATGTAGTCGACTAAATGTTGGCAGAAATGTTTTTTAAAAAACCCTCATTTGGCAGATGGGGGTTTGTTCAAACCCTAGTCGATTAACACCCCTCTCCCAAACCCCAAATCGATCTCCTCCAGAAGAACAATTGAAACCTGCGTGAGGCGTGTGTATTGCACCTAAAAAACGCTGTAATTCGTGAATAGGTAAGCATTATGTTTTACGTTTTGTATTTTTTTTTCTGTACACATGTTAGTCATACAATTGGGTGTTTTGTCTCTGATTTATGGTAGAATGTTGGTCAGTATACTGCAATGGGAAAGCTTTTTGTTATCTACATCAACTTATTATGTTATTGTCATGCATGATTTTGAGAAAATTAACAACTTGTCTATAATGGTCACGGCAACACCAATGGAAAATTAAAAAGTATACTTGTCTGTGGTTGTAGTTGAATACAGAAACATCAAAGAAATGGTACTTATAAATTAGTTGTGCATGCTTTTTGTATCTTATGTAAATCTCACATTAAATGTTCATTGTAGGTATTTCATAAAAATGGCGGGCAGCAGAAGACCAAGCAATGACGAACATGAGAGACGCATGAAGCTTCGACAAGACCGGTCTTCTTCGTCAAGGCCACAAGACGAAGAGCCTGATACTGTCGACCTCCCATTTGGATACCTATTTGAGGATGACCCCTCGGTTCATGCTGCATTTGTACGTGACTATTTGAACCGGCCTTTATGTCCTCCAAAATCATTGGATACAACATTTTTTACGACAGAGGGATTTCAGATTGTGGAGGTGTTGGAGGCGGCACATCTGAGGGTGTTGGCTGAGACGCTGTGTCCGTATTCAGAGATTATGGTGCGGGCCTTCTACCATAACCTCAGCTACGTACAGGGTGAGTTGAGGTCGAGGGTCTGCGGTGTGGACATCATCATGACAGCTCCGGTATGGTTGGAGTTACTAGGCTATGATTTTGACTCTTCGCAGACTGTGGAGTATGACGCTGATAGCGGTGTATCACTTCCTGGATAAGCCCGAGGTGATGCTGTGGAGGAGGCCAGGAGGCCTGATATCGCACGTGGGCGGAACATACACTACATGGTGGGGTTGCTTAGTGTAGAGGCCCGTATATTACACTATGTCATCACTCACATACTGTTTCCGCGAGCTTTCAATCATTCCAGGGTGCTGGAACATGACATTCCTATCATGTGGGCTATTCGACATGGTGTTATGGTGAACTGGAGGCACTATATCTGTTGGATGATGTATAAGGCCAAACATAAGGGTCATCTTCCATTCGCCTGTCTGTTACAGAGGATATTGGTTCACTTCGGTGTTCCTATGGACACTGAGCAGTTGAAGAAGACCACAAGCTATAATTGCATGTTTGGAAAGCGTCTACTGGAGCAGTGCAAGATCGCAAAAAACATGGCGTGTGTGTGGCAGTTCTCTGGTACGGTGGAGGTTGAGGTTCCTTATGTTGCCCTAGATCCACACATGGTGGAGCCAGAGGCGAAGGATGAGGAGGAGGAGGATAATGAGGCTGAGGTTGAGGAGATAGCTGAACCTAAAGGTGAATTTTCTTTGCGTGATGTCATGAAGGGCATAAATGCCACACTGAAGAAGATAGGAAAGATAGCGCTGAAACATAAAAAATGGAGAAAGAGTCACATAGAAAAAAAGGAATGAAAGGTTTAGACACATACAAGGAAGGTTCAAGGGTGTGGAAGATAGGCTTGCTCGTCTGGAGCTTGCACGAGGTGAGGAGGTAGCAGAGGCAGCAGAGGATGAGGGCCATGTGTCAGATGAGGAGGACTCACAGACGGAGTCAGACGGGGATGAGGCTTAGATTTAGGGTTTAGTTTTTAGTTCTTGTGGTTATGGTTTTTTTTTATGAATTTCCTTTAAGTTTTTGATGTAATCAAGTGACTGTGATGTTTATGGAGTTATGTTTTGTAATGAATGCAACTTTTGAAATGAATGTAGAATTTTTTTCATGTTATGAATGGATCTTTAATACTAAAATGATCGTCACGGCCCAAATTAAGATTGAACAGGTTACAATCATCCATAACAACTCACAGCACTGAAGAATAGGTGTTTAAAATGGCTAAATCATGAGTTGGTAACCCTAAACAAACCTTTTGATAGCATACACCGTCGTTTTAGGATTTTAATGTCCACTTTTCTTTTTTGCTTAAGAAATTATGTTCCCTAAGTCACACTACCTTAGTTCATCAGTGTAGAGTGTCAAGATTGTGAAAAAAAAAAACGTGAAAAACAGATTTGGAGGTCAAAAGCAATGATGTAGTCGATTAACCTGTACTGGTTTAATCGACTACAATTTTTAATCGACTAGACCATTGCAGGTTAATCGACTAAATCATTGCTTTTGACCTCCAAATTTGTTTTTCACGTGGTTGAGACTCAACACTAATTAGCTAATGTATTTTGACTTGGGGAACATACTTTGTGACACAAAAATTAAACGTGCACGTTAAATTCCTAAATGATTTACGTATTGTTTCAAAATGTTGGTGTAAGCATACCATTTCATGACTTAAGCATTTTAAACACCTATAACTTATTATTCTCAGTTGTTTTGGACGAAGTAGATACGTGGTTGTTATTATTTGGTCCCTTCGTACCATTTCAGTACAAAAGTTCCATTGTCGACGTTTGTGAATTATGGGTTTAGGGTTTAGAACTTGGATCCAAACATAGCATGATCATTACATTCAAATGCAAATTAAAACAACAAAATGGTTCACAGTGGAGTTCAGTAACATCATTACATCAAATACATGAAAGTTAAACCATAAACAAATTAAGCCCCTCCCCTGCTTCCTCCGCATTTCAAGTCTGTCTAATCCTCATAGGACATGTATGTTTGTTGTGACCAATTTGTTTGCACATGCTACATCTACTCTGACTGCTTGTGGGTTGAGACTCAACCCAATCCATCTCATTCTGTATCCTTGAAGACTTTGGTCTTCCTTATGCACATACCAAAGATGTATTTGGGATGATGGTTGGGCCATCAATTTCTGGAATCAACAACTCATTGCCCATTGGATACCAATGTGCAGCATATACCTTGTCAATTTGTGCAATTGAGAACACAGGATCAACATAATCATAGTGATTCAACTTTTCAACCTTGCTCACCGCTAAGACGTGACTGCAAGGAAATCTTCTAGCTGTGAACCGTCCACATTGACATTTGTGATTGAGCAAGTCCACCCTCATTATATCACTGGCATCATGAGTTGATTGATTGTAGGCATCTTCAACTTCAAATAGCTGCAGGTCCCTATCAAATACCCGCAAACAGAGACTCACTGTTAACTGATCATTTTTTTGCATGATCTCCTCAACCTTTTTTGCAATTCTCCAACCTTTTGCCAATGCTTTTTGGATCTTTTCACGTCTCTTGACGAAATATCAACAAGTCTACTTTGGGTCATCTTCACCAATGCTGCTATAGGCAAATTCCGTCCACCACTCAGGACCTTATTGACACACTCGGATAGGTTAGTGGTCATGTGACCAAACCTCCGGCCTTCCTCATCGTAAGACCTGCACCATTTCTCTTTGGGAATCTGGTCTATCCATGATTCCACTTGTGGGTTACTGTCGACAAATTCCTTAAATCTGATGTCAAAATGAATCTTCGAACTTTGGTACCCTGAAAATAGGAATATTGCATAAGTTAGATACCAATTTGCATAACATACAACAAGTACATAGCCAAGAAATTGTGTACCTAGTTTCATCAGTGTTTTCTTCAATTCCACATCCCTAAACTTAGTGTTAAAATTGCTTCCGATGTGACGTAGACAAAACACGTGATACGCAAATGGTGGCTGCCAACCGGCATGATCTCTTACAGCCCTTATGATGCTGGGATGACGATCGGATATTAGACAAATATCATGCCTATGTGTGACATAAAAACGCATGAGGCTAAGAAACCACGACCAATCATCCAATCTCTCACCCGGAGGAACAATAGCAAAAGCAATAGGCAGAATGTATCCATCTCCATCTTGTGACGTAGAAATCAAAAGCGTTCCTTTGTATTTACCGTATAAATGCGTGCCAACAATTTGGATTATGGGTTTACAATATTTGAAGGCCTCAATGCACTGGTGAAAGGTCCAAAATACCCTGTGAAAGACAGCCTTATCAGTGTAAACTCGACGTTCATCAACAAATTGGTCCGTATCAATCTTGAACACAGAACCCGGATTAACCTGCGTCATGTATGTCAACCAACCAGGCAAGAATGCATATGATTTATCCCAGTCACCAAATAACTTCACAATGGCCTTCATTTTAGCCTTCCAAGCCTTCCTGTAACTTATGTTGTATCCATACAAACGTTGTACCCTTTCTTGAATAAGAACTGGCTTTAAAGATGGATCTTCTTTTACATACCTATAAAAAAAAATCTAAGTCGACACTGTAAAAATACAAACTGATAAACATAAACATACCTTAGAAAATTAGATACATTGAATAATATATACTCATAATGGCTACACATATCACATCAGAATCCAACTGTCTATAATCACGGGTAAGACCTTGGTTTAGGCAGGTGTGTTCTTTGCCCCACTTACTGACCACCCAAGTATTTCCATTCTTCGGCAACAATGCCCTCACATACCAAGGACAACCATCATTATGGTGTCAACACTTCATCACAAATCTATGCTCATCACTTTTTGCCACAACGGCAGTACGGTGAGCCTTCACACAATATAATTTCACTGCATGTTGCATTTCAGATTTGCTACGAAACTCCTGATACAAATATAATGGATCCCCTAATTGCCAGCCACCGTGCAAGTCATCGTCACCATACAACATCTTTGTTTCATCATTAGGGTGGACCCAATTAATGAAGGAATAATGTGGGCTTTCGTTCCAAAATGGTTCGATCTCAGAACCTATGTCAAAATTTATAAAGCCACCGTCAATACCAATGATAACACAAAGAAGAAATGTTAAATTAAATATTTAATTCATAATCTTACCACTGCTAACAGGGTCAACACGAAGTGGACGCGTAACCTGGGAACTCAGGTTTCCTGAGCTTGTGTCAGCATCGAAATCACCCTCTACGTCAGTATCTTACGTGTCACCTAGCGGAATAACATTCTCAGGTTCACCGTCCTCATCACTGTCCATATCCTCCTCATGCTCATCCTCATCCTCGTCTATTTCCCTTAGTGTTATCTGACTTAAGACAGGTGCAGGTGCAGATAAACCGACGACTTTGTCTTCTTTACTCTGACTTCTTTCATGCATAGGTGCAGATGAAGATTGACCACAATCTATTTCAATATATATCTCAATAAAATTTTGAAATTTTCGGTCAACAATTGCATCAATGACACATTCCACATCTTCATCATCACATATATCGTTACCAATGTAGTATATAGCATCCTTACCGACTGTAGACTCTACCTTGGCAATCATCCGCTGAACGCATTGGCTACCTTGCAGACCCAATTTTTGGTGAATTCTCCCTTTTAGCTCATTGTATGTAGTGCCCCGTTTGATTTTCAACATCTTCGTTTTTCCTTCAAATTGAATACTATTGGAGCCTTCATAATGCTTTCCATCATAGTAAATTAGTGTTACATACATGTTTGGACTTGTGCTCATCTTTCACACGAATTTGGGAGTAGGGTTCTGAAATTGGGGGTTTGGGTTCGGATTTTGGGGGTTTGGAGTTGTGCAATGACAAAGATTTCACAATATTAAAGCTTTAGGGATGGTGGGATGAAATAGATTGTGATTGCAAGGATTACACATGACAAACAACATACATTGGTTTACACAACGTTAATATTTGAAATGAGACCGAGAACTTGCAAAATATAGGATTTCTGACGATATTTAATCAACTAAATATTGCAATGTAGTCGATTAAAAGTCCCGAAATTTAATCGATCAAGAGGGATTTTTAATCGACTACATTTCGTGTCAAAGCAATTTCTGAATTTTGATTATTTAGTCGACTAAACCTTCAACGTAGTCGATTAAACAGGGGCAAGTTAGTGGATAGTTATGGATCAGGGGCAAATTGGTTATTAATTAATTAATGAGGGGCAAAAGGGTCAAAAAGCCTATATATATATATATATATATATATATATATATATATAAAGTAATTAAGGAGGGCAATGCCCAAAGCCAAAACACAAAGATTAAACCAAACGAAGCTAGGAAGGCCTATGAGGTCAGCAGAGAAGAAATGATTTGTCTCCTGCGGTATTTGGTCATAGATATGCAATTCTGCTTTGTTGAAGGCATAGTTGGCAGGGTGACAAATAATCGTTTTCGCGTTGTAGTTTATTATTTAAGTAATCAACCATTGAAGTGTAAGGAGACATGTGATTATGGGGCTAATCTGATGATATAATTTTTCCTTTTGTCTTCTCTACTGAAATTTGTGGAAGCTTCCGACCGATGACGATGTCATGGATCAAATAATTTGGGACATGTCCAACGATGGAGCTTTCTCGGTGAAATCAGCATATAATCTCATCCACTCTCATCCAAACACCCCAGCTGATCGCGAATGGCCCCTTGTGTGGTGTTGGGACGGTCCTCAGAGAATAAAACTTTTTTTATTGATACTTCCAGTTATCAAGTATGGGATTGTGGGTTTTACTAAAAACCTCTGTACTGGTAATTCTCTGCTTGCGGAACTGTGGGGAGCGTTTGTGGGACTGGAGATTGCTTGGGCAAGAGGCTTCAGAAAAGTCTGGTTGGAGGGTGATTCCTCTTCCATGATCACTTTGGTCAAGGAGGGTTGTGAGAGCCACAAGCCTTGTTTTCCTTTAACCAAGAGAATTCATGACATGATTGGTAGGCAATGGTGTGTAGAGCTCTCCCATACCTATAGAGAAGGCAATGCGGTAGCGGATTGGCTTGCGAATGAGGCTTTTGAACGTGATTGCAACACATACTTGTATGAGGATATTCCCCCTGGCTGTAACCATCTTGTATTCAGGGACTTGATGGGTGTCTCAACACCAAGAATGGTCTCAGTTAGGCTTTTGTTTTATTTCCGTTTCTATTCAAAAAAAAAAAGAAATTTGTGGATGAAGTGTACCAATGCATTCATGGCGTGCCTTTGGAGACATTACTGCTCTCTTTATTTATTGTAACATATATAGGTTATAATTATTTTGTCCAATAGCAAAAATCACATTCAAAATATTGACAATTTAAGTACAAATCTGGAAATAAAAAATAAAAAATTGAATCAAATTATATTATTTTTTATTATAAAATTAAATTTTAATTTAATTTAAAGTAAATTAAAAATTTATACACACATACGCACTCACGCACATACACAAACACAAACACATATATAATAATAATAATAATAAGAATTTAACAAAGAAATTTTTATAATATCTATATTTATTTAAATTATTTATTATACTTAAAAAATCAAACTTCATTTTCACTTGTTCATTGAATATATATTATACAATTGACACTTAATTTATACTGATATTTAAAATTTAAATTTAAATTTTGGTGCGTTTTATGAAATTATTTGGATTTACATTTATTATATTTTAAATAATTAATTTAAATTTACATATATTTTAAGAAAATTATATTTATATTAATTTTTTTAATTATTTGTAGTAATATTATTTTATTAGAAAATACAAATCAAACCTGGTAACTTAAAGGACATGTCTTTTAAAATAGGTATGTGACTTAATTTCTAAGAGGCCTTTGAATGAATGCAAGCCTATCTTATTTTTAAAACCAGTCTGGTCAAGTTAGACTAAAAGCAAACCAGGCTATAATAAACCCATGACAAACCTGGCTCATTTACATCCATACCAGTTTAAAACCTTTGCATAACCACCTTGAACTGGTTCAATACGTGCTGTAAAGTGCTAGTTCTTTGGAAGTGAAGGCTTTCATTCCATCTATTTTAATACAAATGTTCGAGGCTGCAAAATTTTGAGAGTTAGATCTCTTCCTTAATGATAATCCCAAATGATATTGTCTGTAGAATGTTAAAAGTAGTAGTTCAATGATACCCAATCGTGTATGATACAATTGTGATTTGTAAGTGAAAACCTCAAATGTACTAAGGAACTTCTGTTTGATTCTTAAATACAGCCCATTGATGTGCATCATATCCCAGCCAATCATGCTCAGGGACAAAGAATTAAAGAAACCCTCCAATTCCAACAGCTTCTTCAAATATAAGGTCATATATGATTTGTTTCCAGGAATCACCAATAGTCCTTGCAGGAACAGTAACCATCCTTAAAATGATGAAATCTATTGGCATCCCTCAAAATGATTTCTCTTCCAGTGACTTTTGCAATCAATTTGATTGCAGAATGGCAATCGCCACAAACTCGCAAATTTTTCATAACTCTGATTGGCATCCCTTCAGGCACTTTTAGGAGCGCATATGCTATAGCTACTTTTTCACTATGATAACCCAAGCTATGTGTCTTCTCTTCCTCATCCACGTCATGAAGCACAAAGCTACCATCAGGACAGTACCCAGCTTCCCTTAACAATCCACCTAACTTCTCCAACATTTTCATGATAATAGGCTGCTCGGGGTGGCCCATACTGTCCCCTCCGGTGAACATATGTACCTTCTTTTCAACCTCAATCCAACTACAGCCAGGCAATTTGATAACACTTCTAGCTTTTATTTTTTTCCTAAGGACTTCAACATCCCCCCATCTTCCTCTGGATGCATACATATTTGAGAGCAAGACATAAGGCCCAGCATTTTTGGGCTCTAGCTGTCCAAGTTTCTCAACTGCAACTTCAGCCAAATCCAGCTTCATATGGGTTCTACATGCACCTAACAGTGCACCCCAAACAATAGCATCTGGTTCCATTGGCATCTTTTCTACCAGTTTCATTGCATCATATACCTGGCCTGCTCGGCCTAGCAAATCAACCATGCAAGCATAGTGTTCGATTGCTGGGTCCACTTGATACTTGCATTTCATTGATTCAAAAATTTCAAGCCCTTCTTTCACCTTGCCACTGTAGCTGCAAGCTGAAAGAACTCCAATGAAGGTGACATCATCGGGCAGAACTCCAGAGGAGCACATTTCATAAAAAACATTTAAAGTTTCCTCTCCCAAACCATGTTGGGAATAACCCGTGATCATAGAGTTCCACATAACAACATCCTTCAAAGGAAACCTGTTAAAAATCTGTTTTGCTGTGACAAGATCACCGCACTTAACATACATCGTAATCAAGACTGAGGCAACATATAAATCTTGATCAAATTCAGATCTCACCAATTGGGCATGAATCTGCCTGCCATGATCAAGACTGGCTAGACTGGCACATACAGAAAGAACACTGATCAATGAAGGGAAATTCAGTGCAACCCCTTCTCTTTGCATCTTAGCAAACAAATCCAATGCTTCCAACTCAAATCCTTTCCTTTCATACACCTTAATCATGGCACTCCAAGTCCCATCATCCCTCTCCTTCATTTGCTCAAACACCTGTCTAGCTTTATCCACAGCCCCATCAAGTCCAAGCCCCATGATCATTTCATTGCAAGCAACAATCGGTTTCATCGGCATTGCATCGAAAAGCTCAGAAGCCTCTTTCATCCTCCCACTGTGAGTATAACCCATGATCATTGCCGTCCAAGACACCTCATTTTTCTCTGGCATCACTTCAAAAAGCTTCCTTGCAACATCCACCCTCCGGTTTCGCGCATACCCAGAAAGCATAGTTGTCCAAGTAACCACATTCCTCATTGGCATCTCATCAAAGAGAGCCCGAGCTTCAGCCAAAAGACCCTCCTGACAATACCCTCCAATCATGTTGGTAACAGCCACCATATCCTTCACAGGCATCATATCAAACAGTTTGCGTGCATCCTCAACCCGAGATTCTTGCAGCAACCCACCAAGCATGACAGTCCAAGACACCACGTTCTTGTCGGGCATCTGCCAGAACAGCCATTCTGCTTCTGCAACCATACCCTCTTGCACGTAACCGCGAACCATCGAAGTCCACGAAACAACGTTGCGGTCGGACATGTTGTCGAATACTTTCCTTGCTTCAGTCAACAATCCATTCTTTATGTACCCAGAAATCAAGCCGTTCCAAGAGACGGTGTTCCTTTGGGGCATTTTCTCGAACAGAAGGATGGCCTCGCGGAGCTGGTGGGTTTCGAAGTACGCGGCAACCATGGCGTTCCACGAAGCAATGCTTCTGTGAGTGTGAGGCATTTCATTGAACACCTTCCGAGCATGCTCGATTTGACCACTACGCGCGAAACGTGAAATCAGTGAAGTGCTGGTGCACTGTAGTCTCACTTGCATCATGCACCATCTCAGAGTTGCACCACCATAACCCATGCATGTGTATGATTACAACAAGAGTAATATATCTCAAAGTGCTTAGTTTTCATATATTAGCAATATAAATCTTTTTTTATTACTCTCATTCGTTCATGTAATTTATTATGATTAAAAGAAATAACACAGTTTTAATTACATGGTAATAATGTCTATTATGAGATAATTTTATTTTCTACATATGTATAAAAGAGTACGTGATTTATATATATTTCTTTCTCTCTTCTTTTCGTATGACCTCATATTATATATGTGTAAAAAATAATTTTATCTCCTATAATATGAGATACATAAAATTGAACTATTTAATCGAGTAATAGAGTAAAAAGAATGTTATTCTAACATATTTAAGGAAGAGAAAAAGAGAGAGGGGCTCTTTTAAAGTTTTTTTTTAAAAAAATAAATAAGTGAAAAAAATTCATTTTTATTTTATTTTAACATATATCACATGTAAGTAATTTTTTTTTGTTACTTAAAATGAGGAGACAAAACCAACAAAATTAAACTTAAGGGGACAAAATTTATATTATGACTAGGATGTTTTGATGTAATAAGTTTTAGGACTAATTTTGATCATAAATTTGAAAACTAAAATATTGACAATAATGATTTATTTCCAGGCAAAAAAATTAATTTATTATTTTTTTAATAAAAAAATTACGAAAATATAATCGTTTTGAAATTATTTACGCAAATATAGCACTCAAACACGCCCCATGTGAGCGTGTTCCAATGGAAAGAGACACGCCTAAGTGGGGCGTGAGTCATACGAGAGACACACTCACATGGGGCGTGATCAGGAGAGAGACACGCTCAAAAGGGGCGTGAGTGATTTGGAGAGAGGCACTCTCCATTTGGACGTGACGCAATAGAGAGACATTTCTCATTTGGGCGTGTTTCACCAGGTGTTGTCACGTGTCACAAGAGTCCCGTAAAACTTTGGAAGTCTATAACTTCTGACTCGAGTGTTCGAATTAGGTAATTTTTTTTTATTCCACATAACTTTTTGATATTTACGTAATAACACCTCATTTGGCATATTTTGTCTGTCACAAAAAAAATTGAATTTACAACAATGATACCATAAGAACTTTTAAACCCAAATTAATAAAGAAAAAAATCACTTTTTAATTAAATGAAAAAATAAGAGAAGGTTATAGTTACTGTCACTTTTTAATTTGGGTTTTCAACTGAATTAGCACTGATTCGTAAATAATATGCATCTATATGGTCACCTGTTCACTTCAATTACCATTATTATTATTATTATTATTATTATTAATAAAGTAACATGCTTTTATGTGTTTATTATTAGGGATATATTTTTCTTATGTTGTAGGAAAAGAATTACCTTATGTTGTAAAAACAAAAGCATAAATGGGACCCACATGTAAAAGGAGAGAGAAAAAAAAGTGGTGGGACCCAACCTCTTTTTGTGTGTGTAGGAGAGATGTTTATCTCATGTAAAATGAGATAAACATAACCCTTATTATTATTCCTTTGGACTTTCATAATTATCTGATGTCTCTTGCCCAATTTGTGAATTTGCAATTACATATGGAAACTATGAGCAGATATATTCTTACTACCAAAATTTTTCACTACCAACTTACTACCTATCTAATCACCATTGGATCAATATTTTCTCTCTCTTCATCAACTTTTTAGCATTCTTTCTCTTTGATTCAATGATGATTAGATTGGTAGTAAGTTGGTAGTAAAAAAATTTAGTAGTTAGAATATCCTCCCTCGGAAACTATAACCTTCTCCTATTTTTAACCTAATTAAAAAGTGATTTTCTCTTTATTAAATTGGGTTTAAACGTTCTTATAGTATCATTATTGTAAATTCAAAAAAATAGTGTGACAGACAAAATATGTCAAATGAGGTGTCATTACGTAGATCTCGAAAAGTTATGTGGAATAAAAAAAATTACCTAATTCGGACACCCGAGTCAAAAGTTATGTTCTTTCAAAGTTTTATGGTCAAACTGTTGACTTTTGTGCCATGTGGCAGCACCTAGTGAAACACGTCCCAATGAAGAGTGTCTCTCTCCTGGGTCACGCCCGAGAAGTGTCTCTCTCTAACCGGTCACGCCCATGTGGGACGTGTTTGACTGCTATATTTGCGTAAATAATTTCAAAACGACCACATTTTCGTAATTTTTTATTATAAAAACAAGAAATTAATTTTTTTTGCCTTATTTCCATGTATTTCTTTTATATTATTTTTTAGACTTCTTTATCGATTTATCAATTATTCAACTAATCCGATTTGGATCGAAAAGTATTATAAGGGTGTCAAAACTTCCTCTACAAATTTTTTAACAAAGCAGTATACAAACGAGATCCAAAATTAAGTTGAGTTGTTCTGTGTAGTAAGTGATTTCTGTGTTTTTAAAATGAAATTTTTTTAATATGTAAAAATAAAGTAAATCTCACATCTTATTGTTAAAACTTAAAACTACAAACATAAGATATATTCTTTCTTTTTTGCAAACATTTTATTTAAAATTTAACCTAACATAAACCTGCATGTGTTTAATATTTTATGTTAAATTTCGAAAATTACTGTATATTAAAAAAGGAAAAACTTTTTATCATATTGCATGAGAATTCGATTCTCATGTTGTGTAAAAATTTTCTTTTCTTTTTTTTTAATAAATATGAGACTTCAATTCTCATGCAACATGAAAATTTAATTGAGTTACAACATGACATGAAAATTTAATTCAAATGCAACATGAGAAAATCAAACCCTATTAAAAAATTATAAGAGTCGTTCTAGTTGTGAAAAAGAAAAAGAAAACTGGAGATAAATTAAAAGGGTTATATTAGTCTTTATCATTATAATTTTTTAATCTTATAACTCCAAAACGACATCGTTTTAAGCTCACATGAGATAACTTTATCTCCAGTGACTGGAGAAATACTTTTCCCTTTTATTATTATAATTATATACTATATGTAGTATTAGTTAAAGTTTCCTATAATGAAAGGAGAAGTAGATTTTTCCTATAAAATTTACAAAGTCCCAAATGGGAAGTGCAGGTAGCTAAGACCCTAATAAACTTCCTACCTTTAGTGGTATCAAAATCTTAGTATCAAAAAATAATAATTAATTGGTATAATTACATTTTTTTTGTGAACAAGTAAAGGAGACTAAGTAATCTAGTATGGTATCAGCGAGGAACAATGGTGGGAACAACACCACTGACAAGATCACTTCCAGACACATACGAGGAGGACATGAGATGTTGGTCCTCTCTTGTCACGTTGGATCCTGATGATGATGATGAAGGTGCCATTTTACCAGAATTACATAAGGAAACATCAGAGAAACAAGTTTCATGAGTTTCTGGTAACATTGCAATAATATGTTCCAGTTCCCTCACCACATCTAGCATTGATGGTCTTTCTTGTGGATTGTCTAGGCAACAACTGAGTGCCAGTGTTACAAACTTGTCCAAGCAATCAGATGGATAGAAACCCATTTCGCTGTCTATAATGGAATACATAATCCCAGTTTGACAAGCCACATTAACCTGCATGACACAAATAATAGTGTACCATTATTAATAATAGTGATTTTTGTTTACTTAGTATTTCTTTCTACATGGTGAGTAAATCTTAGATATTCTTTTACCAAAAGTAAAAATAAATGAGATTTACGTAATATCAATCATAAAGAAGTGTATAGAATAAATGCAGTTAGATTAATTATTTTATTCTAACTTAGTAAGTGATGTATTAAATTAGGACGAGCCTCGAATTGTGGAAAAACTATTCCTTTGTAATTGAAAAGTCATGATTCGAATTCGAGAAACACCCTTTTCACAAAGTTATTCATATATGCAAAAATAAAACTACATACAAGAATTGTCCTTACCTATCTCTCGATAGTCGCGATTTAACGGAGAATAGTTTAGTAAGTGATGTATTGAGTTTTCAATATGTAACATTGAAAACTTCCTATATGGTATGTAAATAAATCAGGCATGAGAATTCAAATATACCCTTTTTCTGCAAGCAAAACTTTGGTGCATCAGATATACCTCCTGACTGAGTATATTTTTTTCCATATTTGGAAAATATTTCACCACTTTTGAATTTTTTTTTTCGCCACATTAAAAAAGTTTCTCTCTTTGGAAAAAAGATGTACCCAATGCACCAAAGTTTTGTTCCTTTTTCTGCAATAGTGCTGGCACTAAAATAAATTTTTTCATGACTATTTTTATCCAATGTTTTTAGTGATTTAATGATTAGATATAAGACAGAGAAATAGAGGAGTAATTAAAAAAGGAAATATAAGAATCATGTTGCAGGAATGACACTGTTCATTCCTGCAACAAGGATCCGGCAACGTATCTTGAAGATACGGTGCCGTATCCTGATTTTGGTTTGACTTTTTATTTTTAAGCGTGGGACCCACACTTGATTTGTGTATGCAGGAAAATGGTCTTGTCATGTGACATGACAAAAAGCGAACCCAATTAAAAAAGTACCTCGCGGACAATGTTTTTCCCATGTGATATTGGTCTCATGCCTGTCAGAAGTTCCAGAAACACAATTCCTAGGCTATAGACATCACTTTTGTCAGTCAACTTATGAGTTAACAAATATTCTGGGTCCAGGTAACCCTGCAGGCCAATTACAAAGTAGTCATTAAATTCAGATCATATAGTTTTTTTCAGTGTTAGAAGAAAAATGGACACAAAAAAAAACACCACCCCCAAGTATCAAATGATATGAACAAATTTAAACTCAAAGAACTGAGAGGGAAATAACAGTAGTACAAGTGTGAAGACATTGTGTAAGTGGGGTCTGAATGATTACTATGAAATGGCTCATACATAAGACTACGAGGAGTGTGTAAGGAATCTTTGCAAACAACATTATAAGGGTAGGTAGGACATGACAAGCCATAAAAATCTCATAATTAAATTGCCAAATTGAATAAAAGGTATTATTAGTTGAATAATTAATGTAGTCATAAACTTCTCAATATAACTCCAAATATTCAAAGTTGGAATTGAAATAATTCCTAAAATTTCTTTAACAAACTTACTGGTGTTCCCTTCACAACTGTTGACACATATCTAGGAGTTTCTTCTTCATCTAAGTATGGAGCAAGCCGTGACAGTCCAAAATCTGCCACTTTAGCTATAAACTTGGAGTCCAGAAGTATGTTACTGGTTTTAATATCTCGGTGGAATATAGGAGGGTTAGCCTCTGTATGCAGATATAGTATGCCTTTGGCTGCACCCATTGCAATTCGTAACCTCATACCAAAATTTAGGCTTTCCTTGGTTTTTTTATTTTTACCTGCCACATCATAGTATCCATTAACTTAGACCATATATTTTATGCATCATTGAGAACATCAAACAAGTCAAAATCATGGTGCTATATTTTTCTATTATTCTTAGTCTTTCCTTTCCCTAATGCAACTTTCTTCCTATGTAACTTATCTTCTTCTTCTCTACTTAATAAGGATAGACTGACAAAACAATTATGAACTATATTTGAGACTGCCACTATGATCATGATTTCTTTTGTTCAACATGACTACCTCCACTATTAGGAGCAAATGATGATGAGACTTTTAAAAACTATTCATGGAGATTGAAGTTATAACTGTATTGAAATGTCAATACAGTTGTGTCAATACACCAGAGTTTAGATTTGAAAAGATATTAAACTTATTTTAAAATCCTAAACATTTACCAAGAAGATATTCAAAATTGCATGAGCATTTACAACATTTTTGCAAATGAAGCCCAAAACAAGGATAGCAGATTGACATGAAGAAGAAAAAAGAATTAATATGCACAAACAAAATAAAGTTGTAGATATCTATATGTATTGGCATAGACAGCATTGCTAATTTTAATACAGAAAATTCCAACAAGTTCATACCAGAAATCCAGTCCCTTAGGGTGCCATTGGGCATGAATTCATAAACCAGCATCTGATCCAGCAGAAAGAGTATATGAGAATAATATTGTTGTCAGCTGTCAAGCTAATATGGTAAAACTTATGTCTAAACTAAGATTACATATTTAAGTTCCAAAGATAAGCTTTCTTCAATATATTAAAAAAATAGAAAAGCCCAAGAATAGAATTACAGTCCATATTGTCATAACTTGAATATCTAGTAACAGATTCAATACAGAAATCTGTTACAGCATGCAATTCAATTGCCCCTTATTTGTGATAAGCTCATCTCACATGTGAGTTTCAACAGAACAGATACACCGAACTAGATCAACAGAAAGAACCAATATAAGAATGTTTAACAGAACAGACACAACTGACTTAACTATTAGATGAATGTTTATCTTACGCTATGGCATTGTTTTAATATTATGCTGCTTCATGCAGAACAGATTCTTTTCTCATTTACGTTTGAATTCTTCAACAAAGCTAGTTACAAGATGATATTGATAACAAAATTGTAGCTATAATTCATGGCAAAAGTATCTTTACCTTTACGGCAGAGAAATTTCGTCTGCCGCAGATACATCTTTCTCAGCATACGCATGTAGATCCTGATAAAGATATATCTGCGGCAGATAAATCTGTCTGTCATAAAAGCAGAATCGCGCGACCCATAATTCATATACCTGCTCTCCTTCTTCACTACAGTATCCAATCAGTGAGACAAGATTCCGATGGTGTAACCTTGATAAAAGCTCAATCTCAGTCAAAAACTCCTTTTGGCCTTGCAAGGAACTTTCTTCTGCTCGCTTAATGGCTACAAATGTTTCATCACATAAAATGCCCTTGTAGACATTCCCATAACCTCCTTCACCAACTTTAGTTGAGCTGTTAAATTTGTCAGTAGCAAGAGCCAATTCCTTATAAGTGAATGCTTTCAAGCCATCTATTTTGATAGATATATTAGAGGCTGCAAGAAGAAATAAGCATTTGAATTTCTTTCTTCAAAGATGATCCAAAATGACACTATCAGCAGAAAGCCTTAGAATACTTACACATACGTTTCCTGGAAATCTTGTGCTGGTATTTATACTGTCTTCGAAAAATCAGGAGCATGATTATTGCAGATATTGCTAAAACACAAGCAATAGCTGCTATTATAGCAGCAGCTAATATGCCCGGACTAGTTTTCCTCCTCTCTGAATCAATAATTACTATAGCAATAAAATGAAAGTTAAATTAGAGAAACATGACAAAGGGAATACATTCTATTAATCAATTCTGAATAAGTAAAAATTTACACCAGTTGTGAGATGTACTCTATCTGATTCATCAACATAAATGTTAATTCTAGGTAGAAACAAGGGAAACTACTTCTGCATTGACATTAATCTTTTTGGATCATGATAATTCCCTTTTGTGTTTTTCTGTTTTTAATACGAGGATTGCTTTGGACTTAAGTGGAGAGATACCCTCATCTTTGCAGTTTACAACCAAGTACAAAGAAGGACACAGACAGTTAAGTGGCTTCTAATTGTATATGAACAAAATGTCACAAAACATAAGGCATATACCATTAAAAAACTAAAGATTAATATTTTAAACTTTCAAGCAACATCTCCGATCAGATCAGATTTCCAATTTTCAACATCTCAGTTAAGCAGTGGTATATACAAAATGGAGAAAATTTAATAATATGAAGGTTTATAATAACAAAAATACTAATAGTGTGCAATTTCTCTGCATTATGCATGTTAAATTGCCAATCACTTCTACAAGCAGCAGAAGTTTCTTCTAGAAATGATGTTAAACAGTACATACATTTGGTGGGATGTAATGATAATAATATAGTCAACTTGGCATAAAATAATAAAAAGTGGAGATTAAATAACTTACTATTTGCATAAGGTCCTAGAAGAGTGAAGTTCAGGAGTTCATATGGTCCAAAAAAGTCAGTGCGAGGAAATCGCCATGATGTAAATATACCTTTAATGCGATGGACCTCACTCTTATTGAACTCATTAGAGTGGGAATCATTGTACGAAGGAAAAATTTTTAAATACATTCTAAGACGAGGTCCCTCTTCCCAAGCATATGAATCTATTGATAATTGATAGATGTCTAAGTTCAAGGAATGAGTTATGTATGATTCCAAACGAGTTGTATAGGGAGGAAAGTAAGAAAAACTTGGACTTTTCAGCCTGTATCCAACTCTCAGAGGTGCTGCACAAAAGCAAGGAACTGGGGAAGAGGGGGCATATTCATAGAAATTATCCACTGGACAAGCTTGAACTGGACAAACAGTTGAATTTTTTGAGTTTTGAGCTACTTCATCTCCTTCAGGTCCACAATATTGACCAATACTTTTTATGTTAGAATTCTTGCAGATAGGATTGCCAGAAAGCCTTCAAGGAAAAAAAGGAAGAAATGGTAAGAAACTTATGCCACATTATAGGCAAAAGCCTTATAACTTTTTTTATAAAAACTAATAGCAAAACATAATTGTAACAATGTTTTTCATAATGAAAATGAATCACATGAAATAAAATTAGACAGAAATGTATGCTATATTATGAACATCAATTGAACAACAGAGATATAATCAGATCATGCGGTTGCATGGAATGCATTACTAAACACATGTAACGAGAATACCTCAAGGTAACATTTGGCGGGGGGTTTAGATTTCCGAAAACATCCGAAAGTGAGTTGTTATCGAGATCACTGCATAGATAGGATATAATGAATTCACTATGCAAACAACAGAATCAAAATCCATTCATCATTTTAATAGTAAATTCCTCATCATAGTAGATTAGTTTGACGCAAAAAATTAATATTCCTTGAGACTGAAGTTGTAATCCGGATTCAGAAGTTACATTGTAAGTTTAGCCTTCATACTGAAGGACATGTTCTTCCATATGCTAGAAGGGATAGACCCAGACAGCAAATTGTTTTGAAGTGACCTGTGTTTGACAATGAAAACAAAACATTAAACCAATGTTCATAGAATTGCGTTTGTGTAAAAGTCCCACTAGATTCTAGGAGGCAACATGCATAGAGTTTTATTGAGAAATTTCAAGATATTGTTATGTAATAATTAAATAAATATTATGTGAAACACAGGTCGACAAATATCTTCTCACAATGTTTGAAGATGAGGATATAAGAAGCTTTGAGGAATAGATCCATTGAGACGATTATTGGACAGATCACTGCAATAGAAAGAAAATTACTATATCAAACTCAAATTTGTCATGCCTAGCATTAACAAAAATAAATATTGTAATGTAGATAAGTAAACCAAGAAAATTGTAGATACAGAATATACAAATAAAATTGGCTATTTACATACATGGTCGTCATATTGTCTGAAAGTTTATTTGATGGTATGTGTCCGGTAAACTGATTCCAGCTAAGATCTCTAAAACATGAACCAGACACAAATTAGTTGGTAGCCAAAACGGGAGAGGTAAATGATTTCAATCTCATTAGGCTCAATATAAAGCTAAGCCACAGAATATACTTAAACATACAAATAGGTAAGCTTGGGTATTGAACTGAAATCAGGAATAGCTCCTTGCAGACTGCAGTTTCTTAGACTTCTGTTAAGTCAAAGAGGAAACATTAGCTCAAAATACAGAAATAAATCATACTTATGTTCTTGAACTTAACATTAAGTTTTTGTGACTGCATATCCTACTTCAGCTTCAATTGAAGCCCACAGGATTCCTTTTAAAATACTTTCAACAAACACCTTTACATGAAAGCTCTTTGGAAGTGAATACTTGCTATCTTATATTGAAACTTAAATTTGAGAATGAGAGGATTAAGGATTAGAATACCAGACCGCATAGTTAAAAACGTATTGCAGGCCATTTTAGATAACCTTTTAACCTAAAAACTTAAGCTGTGAGGTGAGCTCTAAAGAATGGTTACTAAATATCTGTAATTTCCTATGAAATTAAAAACTAACAAAAAGATAAGTAGCTATCCCTAAGAGTACTTACAGTTTTACTAGACTGGATAAGTTTGCATAGGTTGAAGGAATTCCATACCCGCTGAAATTATTGTTGTCAAGTTGGCTGCAAGGGAAACAAGTAAATATGAAAATCAAACACTGTAGCTAAAATCCCTTTTCTGGCCAAGTTAAAGTATAGATGAAAGCATATACATGCAAATGCACTGTATAGTATACACGTAAAGTTCTTAGTGAAGTCATAAAATACTTCAGATATTTTAATTTCTGAGGTGAAGGCTAGAAGTGAGAACCAGTTTTCCAAACAAAAATGTAATCGTTTACAAGAGTCCTGTAGCTGACTACTGCATGACATGATCAAAGAATAACTAAGAAAGGTAAAGCAAAACTGAAGACTAAACTATGAGAATTGATACAAATGCTGATAAAATGAAAGTAAAATGAAAAATAAGCATTATATGGTTGGCTCAAGTATAATACTAGGTAAAGATGATATATGGAAAATACATGGATTTTAGGGGACTATTCATGTTGGAATTATTCATTTTTTTAATACTATATATTTTATAATCTAACAATGTACAGGCCTTTTTTTTATCAGATTGCTTCTTTTAAATCTCTTGATGACACCTAAGGCTCTGCTTGTGATGTTCTAACTATACCACCACAATACCTCATCCAAAATCTAGTTATAATTATTTTACGGCTCCTTCAGCGAACATATCACACCCAATTCCTTTGACATCATGAGAACTCTAGCTTATCATACCAGTGACAGACTTAGAAAAGTGTAGGCAAAACTGTTTTCTCTCCTCCTGGAGAATTCTCAATACAGATCTATCTTAATTGGCTAAACTATCATACACAAATCTATCCCAATTGTTCGGTATGGCTAGTAAGTCGCATTGAGATGAGAACTCTTGTTGGCAGGACTGCGGAGACCTGGTACTTTTGTGGGCCTCGGTTTTATTTTATTTCTCTTTTTCGTAGTTTAGGTTTGAGCTCATGAATAACTACTGTTGCTAAGGTTTCTAAACTTATTTATATTCCCATTGTAAACTCAGCGACTTGTAATGAGTGCGGTGAGGAGAATATAGTTAAACATTAGTTCACATGGGGTGAATCAAGATAAATCTTTGTCTCCATTCTCTCTTCCCTTCTTTCTTTTCTATTTGCGACTTGTGTGCGTGATTGTTCAGTGCCAATTCTAACTAAGGAGAGCATAACAGATTTCCGAATTTACAGCTGTACAATACATAGACTTTGCCGGTTTTAAATGTCCAGTGACACTATGCTAGGAATTTTCTGGTTTAAATGACCAGCTGATTTTCCAATTCCTTTGACATTCAGAGCATGATTTTAAATTGTTTACTAATACTCAACCACAAATCAAGTAGATGGGTGTTAACTACAGTAATACATAAAATAAATAAGTTAATAAATGCTACAAATCTAAACAATGTGGAAGCATGACATACAGTATTGCCAACCCATGTAACATGGAGAATTGTGGTGGAAGATGGCCAGATAAGTTATTGTTGTCCACAAGCCTGTAAAGTCATTTCAAAAAGCAGACACTGTAAAAACTTGAAAACAGGTCAATACGGAGATGCATAACAGGATGCAATTGAAGTTTTGAAGCACAAAGGAAATGTAAAAAATTGTCTTCAATACTCACAAGTGCAGAAGATTGGATAGGTTTGAAAGTTTGTATGGAAGTTGACCATTAAACGAGTTGTTGTTCATGTGGCTGCAAAGATACAAATGAAGCAGATAAAGTACATGTAAGAAATCAAGCTCCAAGCTGAGTTGATGATGCATTTGGCTTTATGATCCACTTACATGTGTCTAGCATTGACCAAGTTGGCAAATGAATCTGGTATAGGACCTGATAATTGGTTTTCGTCAACTTGGAGTCTATTCAAATTTGAAAGGTTGCCAAGCTCATCTGGTAAACTACCAGATAAGTTATTCCCATTCAGGAGCCTGCGTAGGCAATAAATCAGAATAACTATTCATATTACAGCAGAAAAAAAAAAAAAAAAAAAAACTTGATGAAGATCAATACTAATAATTTATCTTCTTTGGTAAAGTTCTTACAAGAGTTTCAATGATGTAATATTTCCAATCTCCTTTGGTATTGTGCCTGTCAGATTGTTCCACATGAAATCCCTTCAAGCATAAAACAATGATGATATTAGCATGGCATAAGATGTTACAATCAGTACTTCTGATACAGATTTTTTTTATTTTATTCAGAGAACAATATATAAAATGACACAACTCACAGTATCTCAAGTTGAGATAGTTGACCAAGCTGAGGTGCTAGACTTCCAGAGAGATTCATAGTCATTAAATAGCTAGAGTAAAATTGGGATAATACAAAATAATTAGAATTTAGAAATCCCTTGAATATTAACCCTGTGCCTTATATAAATAACACTGAATCATATTATCTAAGTAATAGTAATTGAAATTAAGAAAAAGTAAAAAGGAAAGTGGAAGGATAAATAAATCATACAGCTCGCGGACATGGAAGTAACCATCAGCACCCTTCCTATCAAAACACCAAACCCCAGTCCAGTTTGATGCACATGGGTCACCCTTATTCCAGTTCCTCAGATTGTTCATGGGATCAATCAAACTTTTCTTGATGTCTATCAGTGCATTTACTACAAATATATGCCAAGTATTAAGGTTCAAAAACTTCATATGCCAAATCAAAATTACATGGAATTAGAAGACAAAAGAAGATGAAATGATATGCATGTAGCAAACTTTCTCTATGCTTATCATTATCAAGATAACAAATCCCTCCCCACTTTCCAACTTGGACTGAAATTTTGATCCGAGATCTCATGTTTAGAGTCTAAAATCACAGTCCAGAAAGAACAGAAAGATTCAATAAGGCTTTTACAAATTCACCTTCTGAAGGATCTGTTGGTTGTGAGACTGCTATGAGGATGATAAAACAAAACGAAACAGCCAAGGCATATCCATGATTTCTCATAGCCAACATCACAGTATATCCTAGAAAAGCAACCAAATAAAAAGGGATGAATAAAAGAAGTACTGATAACATTCTAAGGAATGAGTTTCATAATTCATGTCACATATTCAGAACATAATACAAAGCAAAATAGAAACCCTTTTATCTTGTCATCATTTGCAAAAGGTAACATCAATGAAATGTAAAAAGAGAAAACTAACTCAAAAGGTTTATTTCTCTGGTTTGAAGCTTGGAACAAGTTCAAAGCTGGCAAGCATGTGGAACTTTAACTTTCCCAGATAACTCAAATACAAAGCTATATAACATAGAAGCTTATCTTTGTCAGAAAGCATAAGATATCTGAGTTGTCATTTGATTAACTAAATTCCTTACACCCCAAAAATAAAATAAAATAAAATAGAGTGAGAGAGAAAATCTTACTTGACAAAGGTGTTATGATTCAATGTCAAAAACTCCTGGAATGAATGAACTTGAAACCTGAAGAGTGAAAGTCTAGCAATGAAAATCCTAAGTCAAAAAAAGACTCCGTGGGTAAGTTGTTAGCTAAATCATTATGGTCACCATGAACCACATAATATGATTATGATAATAATAAATGATTGAACATATTCTTTATCTATATATACACATATATTTCATTTATTTAGGGTAGTATATTAATAAACTGTGAAAAGCATCTCTCTCAGCAAGGGATGGCACTACGTCTTGTTTGGTTCATCCACTTTCAAATAAGTCAAACACACCAAATAGGAACACGCCAATATCATATTAATATAATAATGAAAAGCTGTTATACGCCACATGCACCACCACCTACTTATATATGTATTTTAACAATTAATTATACACGTAGTTATCAATATTTGCTTTTACTTAGTTTAACCTGAACTTTTGCCTATTTACATTTCGATGATGTTACCTGTATATCCTTGCTTACATCATCATGTCATATTTTTTTCAAATCTTGTATGGTTATATATATATATATATATATATATATATATATATAGAAAAATAGTTTTCTCATTTTACATGAGAAAATTTTCTCATGTTACACTCACAATATATGAGTGGGTCCCATCTTGACTTTTTTGTCTTATTATCTTTTTGTAGACCCCACTCATGTATTGTGTGTGTAACATAAGAGATTTTTCTCATGTAAAATGAGAAAATCAATTTCCATATATATATATAAAACGATATAATCAATTTAGATTGATGTAAGAATATGAAATCTTATATCAAATTTTAACCGTTGATTACCGTGTATCTAACGCTTAAAATTTACTGGGTCATATTAATTAATTAATTAATATGACCTAATAAATTATAACCGTTAGATGCACGGGAATCAACGGTTAACATTTGGTATAAGATTTCTTATTCTTACATCGATATAATAAAACTTGCCCATATATGTGTGTGTGTGTCGAATATAATGTAAGGTTTGGTGTGGTCAAAATTTTTACACTGTGTATTTTAGGGAATACATAATTATAATGTTAAAGTTGTTTAGAAGAGAAAAAAAAAATAACCTTAATACAGAAATATATAGTTATAATTATGGAGAGAAAAAAAAAAAACTTTAACATTTGCACTGAATACATAGTGCAAAAATTTTTATTGCACCAAACCTTACATTAAATGACACTACAAATCATTTTGCTTATATATATATATATATATATATATATATATATATATATATATATGTTATTTTATCTAAAAAAATTTCTGCCTACCTTTGTCTATCATTCTCTAATATCGTTAGATCATAATCTCAATATGATCTAATGGTGTTGGAGAGTGATGGACAATTATAGGGGAAAAAAAGAAGGTAAAATAATTGGTCTCATATATGGGATAAGTTATTCTACCACTCTTCAACACCATTAGATCATAATCTCAACTACTTTTATCTTTTCACTTTCCTGTTAAGATTTCGATCTAATAGTGTTGGAGAGTGATAAGTAAAGGTAGATAGAATAATTTATCCCCTAATATATAAATATATAGTTCACTTTTTCTGCAGTTACTGCAGATAAGTTATCTATAGGAAGTCCAATACGACGTCGTTTTGGGGCAGAAATCATGGTGTTTTGTAATTTTAATTTATTTTAGGGTTATAATAGTCTTAATATTTATAATTTTTTAATATTTCAATATCAAAACGACATCATTTTGAAAATAAATGCAGATAACTTATCTGCATTAACTGCAGAAACATTTTCCCTATATCAGAAAAATATTTCTGCAGTTAATGCAGATAAGTTATCTGCATTTACTTCCAAAATGATGTCATTTTGGGGTGGAAATATATATATATATATATATATATATATAGGGTTCACTTTTTATGCCGCTACTGCAGATAAGTTATCTGAAGTAAGTCCAATACGACGTCGTTTTGGGCGGAAATTATGGTATTTTTGTAATTTTAATTTATTTCAGGGTTTTTATAGTCTTTATAATTATAATATTATAATATTTTTATCCCAAAACGATGTCGTTTTGGAAGTAAATGTAAATAATTTATCTACAGTAACTGCAGAAATATTTTTCTACATGAGCAAATATATCCATGAAAGTGTTTTTAACAAGCATTTTTTTCTTAGTATAAACAAATTTATTATTTGTAAGTGGTTCTAAATAATGTGTTACTTTAAAATAAAAATACTTCCATTTTGTTTTAAATACCCATTTTTAATAAGAATGAATACATTAGTATAATTATTATAAATTTATACGTTTACAAAAAAAAAAAAAAAAATAGAACCAAAAAACAAGTTAGAATAGCAATAATTCTTCTTCGTTTGAACAAATCAAAAGCGAATATTGGAAGAATTGAACACAAGTTTTACGCCGTCGGTGGATGTGACGGGAATCGTCAACGGCTACCTATCAGACTTATCATTATCACTTACCAAAGTAACTACGTAACACCGTAACCAAAATAAAAATAAAAATTGAATATCATAATTACTGGGTCAGTTCAGGTCTTTGGTCATGATAAGTCTACAATCTCTCTAATGATGTAATAAGTTCAATCACAGTTTAATCATAATTAAATCATTGAACCATAATCAATCTTTTATGGATAAGTCTTATTTTCATAAATTTGATTATGAAATGATTCATAAAAAATTAAATAACCTTTTTTTTTTTATGGCACTCGCTGTCAATTTGTGCTGGGCCAATCCATTGGAATCAGCTCACTTTGAGTTGGGTCGAATACATGTATGCTCTTAACAAACTAAATATAATTTGGGCTAATTAATTGTTTGTCTAACCTAGGGGTGGGGTTATTCAAATCGATCCATTATTTTATATTATTTTTGCTTAATTATTATTTAATATATAAAATAATTGTTTTAAAATAACGTATAATTAATTAAAAAACAATTATTATTATTATTAGTATAATAATTATGTAAAGAACCAATTCAACTCAAAAGCTTAAGCTGTTGGGTGAGGCTACATTAATGGTTTATATATCTCAACACGGCCCCTCACACGAGAGCTCACTGAGTTTGAGGGGCGGCGAGGATCGAACCCGGTACACCGAGGCTCTGATACCATGTAAAAAACCAATCCAACCCAAAAGCTTAAGCTGATAGGTGAGGCTACATTAATGATTTATATATCTCAACAAATTAATTAGGACTCTTTTGAATTTGTGAGTTAGTCTAACTCTAAGTCACTACAGGTCAGCCTCATCAGATCAAATCAAATTAAGAGGGTTCTTACAAAAAAAAGTAAAAATTAAGAAGGTAAAATTGGGGTAATTTTTTTTTTCTTTTGTTTTAATTTTAACGTATACATTTTATGAAGTTAATTGACTATTCATTTTGGGACACGCGCATATTATTGTCTTCCGTCATGGTTGGGTCATTCGCTTTATAATAAGTCAAACACCCCAAATTGGAACAACCCAATGCATCAATTTTATTTTATTTTTTATTTTTTATTTATTTATTATTATTTTTTATTTTTTTTACAGTCGTGACAAATGCCGCCGGCCTATTTTAGCTTATGTATTGCATGCACCATCGCCACTCCATCAATAAATTTTTTTTTATTGATAAAGATATTTATTAAGAGTAGTTATATTAATGTACATAAAATCAGAGATTCGTTTCTAACTAATGTGGCATTTCTCACTCTGTGTTGAAGTTAGAGTTACGCTAGTCTAGTCTCTTCGTACCAAATTGAGAATGACATTCAAAGCCCAAAATTCTTATAAGAATACCTCTCATATATGGATTAAGCAACAATTCATAATAAGTGAGTTTGATATATATCTCTTCTCAAAACCGGTAATAAGTCTAAATCATTTTTCAATTATATTCATTACTTAATTCTTTTCTAACGATGTGAAACTTTTCTTTCACACTTAAATTTCACTTCCAACAATTATACTCTGACATCTCTCTTATTCAAAAAAAAATATATATGAGTTTCTTACTTCACTAGCTATTTTTACATCATGTTCCTTCCACACTTAATTTCTTTTATGTATAAACATTGGGAGTATATAATGTCATATGACATCAACCATCCAAATATAAATTAAGGGTTATCTTTTTTTCACTCTTATTAAAGAATAATATATTCATATATATATATATATATGGAAAAAATGTTTATACAGTTAATGCAGATAAGTTATCTGCATTTATTCTCAAAACGATGTCGTTTTGATATTGAAATCTTAAAAAATTATAAATATAAAGACTAGTATAACCCTGAAATAAATTAAAATTACAAAAATACCATGATTTTCGCCCCAAACGACGTCGTATTGGGCTTACTGCAGATAAGTTATCTGCAGTAACTGCAGAAATAACCAACCTATATATATATATATATATATATATATATATATATATATATATATATTCATCTAACAATTTAATCTTTTGAATTAAATTGGTTGTTCACATTATATCATAATTTTTATGAATCAAGACATTTAAAATTTGATTCTTGTTGTAAAGAACCAATTCAATTCAAGAGTTTAAACTGTTGAATTAGAATTTTTTTTAATGATTTATATTATTCTCTAACACACCACTTTGGGCTTGAAGCATAGATATTGCACATGCTCAATTTTTTATTTTACTTTGTCCTTATTTAATTTCACGTAGAAAGTGGAGGTAGTGAGAATCAAACTTGTGACCTTGTGATCACTAACACTTATTTAATTCCACTAAAAAATTTCAATATCATGTAAAGAATCAATTCAACCCAAAATCTTAAAATGTTAAGTGAAGGCTTTTTTAATAGCTTATATGGTTCTCTAACACTTGTCATCTTCATTCTTCAAAATATATGATGAATTGATTCTTTACTACCCTTGATTTTAATGCATTATTCCATCATTATTCGTTTGTTTCTAGAGAGATGAGATCTTCTCATATGATCTAATATTATGTGAGAGATCTATTCCCTAAATATAAATGTTGGGAAGTGTGTAGTAGTTATTATTACTATTATTTAAAATACAATTTAATAAAAGTATCTAATTAGAGTAAAAATAACTCTTCTTCATATAAACA